CTGGGCCTGGACGCTGTCCCTCATCTCTTCAGCTCAAGGCTAGCACTCTACCACTTGAGCCACCATGCCACTTCTGGCATTTTCTGCTTATGTGGTACTGAGGAATCAAACCCAGGGCCTCATGCAATCAAGGCAAGCACTCTAGCTCTGAGCCACCTTCCCAGCCCAATATTTTTTTTTCTTTTTTTTTAGTGCCAGTCCTGAGGCTTGAACCCAGGGCCTAGATGCTGTCCCTGAGCCCTTTTGCTTAAGCATAGCACTCTACCACTGGAGCCACAGCTCCATTTCCAGCTTTTTTGTGTTTTTTTGTCGGTCATGGGGCTTGAACTCTGGGCCTGGGCGCTGTCCCTCAGCTCTTCAGCTCAAGGCGAGCGCTCTACCACTTGAGCTACAGCGTCACTTCCGGTTTTCTAGTGGTTTATTGGAGATAGGAGTCTCACGGTCTTTCCTGCCCTGGCTGGCTTTGAACCGCGATTCTCAGATCTCAGCCTCCTGAGTAGCTAGGATTACAGGCGTGAGCCACTGGCGCCCGGCTCCAACTTTTTTTAAAATAAGTTTTTTATGGGCTGGGAAGGTGGCTCAGTGGTAGAGCGCTTGCCTAGCATGCCTGAGGCCCTGGGTTCGATTCCTCAGCACCACATAAGCAAAAAGAAAAAAGCCGGAAGTGGCACTGTGGCTCAAGTGGTAGAGCGCTAGCCTTGAGCTGAAGAGCTGAGGGACAGCGCCCAGGCCCAGAGTTCAGGCCCCACGACTGGACCCAAAAAAAAAAAAAATAAGTTTTTTATTGTGAAAATACTGTACAGAGGGGTTACAATCACCCGAGCAAGGTAATGAGTACATTTCTTATCAAACATTGTTGACTCCTCCTTTGTTTTTCCCCTACCATCCCTTCCCTCCCATCTCCACTTTTTTTTTTGAGTTAATTGGAGGTAAGAGTGTCACAAACTTTCCTTCCTGGGCTAGCTTCCAACTGGGATCCTCAGATCTCAGCTTCTTGAGTAGCTAGGATTACAGGCGTGAACCACCCCCAGTGCCAGGCATAAATTTGCTTTTTTTTATTTTTTATTTTTTAGTCTTTATCATTATTCCCAATCTCTTCCACCTCACCTCGCGCAAGTGTAGCACCAGCTTCCAGGGCCTGGAAACTCCTAGAAGGGATGTCAGTGGGGAGTCGGAGACCAGGGACTTCAGGAATAAAAATGTAAAATTGGGGAGGAGGCGGAACTGTTTGGGCTGTAAGACTCCTGCAAGGTCTCCAGCAAGACCATTTGCAGCTTTTGTAAACAGCTTTTATGTCATTAGTTCTACTGGGGAATTCAAAGCTAATCTTCACACAATTGCTAGCACCTTCTCCTACCAGCCTTTTCCTACTGGACAATTAATCTCTTTCTTGCCACCAGGAAGGTCCTGCTGCCAGTGTGTTAGAGAGCTCCCCGTCCAGCTAGCAGTCCTTTTCTCCGGCCCAAGTCGAGCCTCCGGCGGTGGCGGCGTTGTAGGGTGAGTGGGATTCGAGGCGTGGACGGAAAGGGTAGTGAAAGTTAAGGACGCCCAGGGTTCTTGATTGTACACAATGCGCGCCTCCCCAGAGCAGGGGAGCCGCCCGCCCGCTCGCCTTCGGGGGAACCCAGCTTCCGAGAGGACGCGCAAGCTCGGTCTCTGCGGGCTGGAGGAGCCGTGGCCACACGGGACCCCGCCACTCGCCGAGCGCCCGCCGGGGAAGCCGGGGACGGGGAGCCCCCCCCATTCTTTCCAACTTTCCGGGCCCCGGGGCCGGAGGAGGGCGCCTCTCCCGGCGGGTCCGCGCTGGGTACTTAAGGCGGCCCGGTGGGGCCGGCGCTGTCAGTCGGAGCGCGCGGTGGCGCACGGTGCAGACGGCGCCGCACGGTGGAGCCGAGGAGCCGAGGAGGGGCATGGAGCCACCGCGGGCCTGCTGAGCACCGGAGCGCGGGCGGCGGGCGGCACGGTGAGCGCGGGCCGGCCACCTCGAGGGGCGCGCCGGGCTCCCGGGGCCCCTCCTGCCCTGCGCCCCGGCGGCCGGAGCTGGGGGGTGGGGGGAATGGCAGCTCCGGGCTTCCTGGCGGCGCTTCCCGCGGCCCCCTCCCCACGGCCCCTTTCTCATTTTTTCCTTCGGCCTCCTCTCCGGCCTCTCTTCCCAGCCTCCCTCGCGGCTCGGGTTTTGTGAATGAATGAGGAGGCGAGGAGCATGTGGGGCGCTCCCCCCCCATTTCCTCCGGGGCTTCGCACCTGCCGGAACACCTCGACCCCGGCTCCTGCCGACCTGCCGGGCAAGCGCGGCACGTGTCGTGCGGGCCAAGTGAGCTCCCTTCCCCAAGGACTGCCGCTAGCAATCGCGCTGGGTGTTCAAGTTTCCGTCCCGCCGCGCGTGGGCCCCGCAGCAGGGCGCACCTGTCAGCGGGAGAGGCTCTGCTAACAAGGCAGCCCCTCAAAGTTTGCGGGGTGGGTAGCAGGGCGTGCGCCTTTGCCTGGAGGTTCTTATTTCACGCTGCTGCCCCGGCGGGGGGAGGGGGGAGTGGCGGCCTTGGGGAGCGCCCCCATCCTCGTGCCCTTGAACCCGATGCGCGCGGCAGCGAGTCTGTGCCAGGTTCCGGGGATCCCTTCGGAGTGTGTGTGTGTCTGCGGAGCAGCCCGGGTACAGATCGCGCCCCGCGTCCTCCCGCTGGGGTGGCAGAGGCCGCTGTCTGGACAGGGGGTCGCCCGCCCTGGCGCTCGCTTGCACGTGGGGGTTCCGCCGCAGGACCTCGCGGGGGCCCTGTGTGGGAGAGGGGGATACCGAGGCAGGGCCTCGGATCCTGTGGGGGAGGGGTCCTGCCCGGGGAAGGAGGGGACTGGCGACACCGGGGAGGCCGTCTTTGTCTGCCGGCACTCTTTTGCCAAGGTGGCTGGGGCCCCGGGGAAGATGAGCAGGGCCCGGTCCAATTGTGGTTTCTTGGGCTCTGCGTTCCTCCCCGCCTGGGTCGTGAGAAACCGGCACGTGGGTGTGGCCAGCGCCGCCTCGACCCGGAGGCCAAGCTCCCGCTTGAAGAAGAGCGCGGCCGGTGTCTTCGCGGCCGCCTTGACCCGGTGGACGCAGCCACGCGCACCACCGCACCGCACCGCTCCGCAGCGGGGTGCCAGGGCCCAGCAGATTGCGGGACAGACCCTGGTCCCTTTCCTGACTGCAGGGGCAGCGGCGCCCCACCTCGGGTCCCCGGCACGTGAGCAGAACTGGGGAGTGGGGCACCCCTGGGCGGTGGATGCAGGCCTGGGGACCCTGGACCGCCGGCGCGCAGGGAGGGAGAACCGGGAGGGCTGGGAGTCCCGCAGAGGAAGCACGCGGCCGGCTCCCCACGCTGGCCGGGCTGAAAGCCCCGCGGCCTCGCTTCCCGCAGCGGCCAGGCAGCCAGCAGCCCTTTCCCATCCAAGCTGCCGGAAGCTGCTGGAAGCTGCTGGTGCCTCCGTCGCTGGCGGATTGAGGCAGTGACTGATTCCTTAGCCACCCTGTGTGGAAAGTATATTTTGGAGGGGTGGGAGGGGGAAGGGGCGTTGAGCGTGGCTCCAGTGAGACCAGAGCTTAGCAAGCCGGGAGAGGGCATTGTCTGGAGTGCAGAGTGGAAACGGGAATCTCCAGATGAGGCAGGTGGCTGGCAAGGAGAGGAGGTGGGCGTGGAGGGCAGGGAGCATGCAGTCCACGCAGCCTCCCCTGCCCACCTCTCCTTTGCGCCCCGCCCCCATCTGGGCTCTGGAGGAAAGCGCAATCCGCCTTACTAACATTTGGGCAGCTCTTAGGGCCTGATGTGATTCCACTTTAAGGGGAATGATTTTCCAGAGGTTTTCGAAGTGAGAAACGAATTCAGACCCCCCCCCGCACTGTAGCGATGGAAAGAACTCTTAGAGAAGTTGGGCAAGGTCAGGCAGCCTGGTGGGAGTGGAGCTTATCTCTGGTGCTGAGTTGTGGACTCTGCTCATTACAGCACATCTATTTCCAACAGAGCAAAGGCTTAGAAGCCCCCACTTAGTTGCAAACTGAAACCTGGCATTATTTCCAGCAGTGGTTGGGCAGGGGATGTGCACGCAGATTTCTACGCGGGCACTAGGACCAAGCGGATGGGGTTCTCCAAGCAGCCAACTTGGACTGCTGGACTGCTGCAGTGGTAGCTGCGGTTCCTCCTGGCGCTGGCTCTCTACACTCCTGGGTGCTGGGATTCTGGGAGCCCAGCTCTCACGATTCCAACTCTTTGCCAAGTCAGCTGCCCCTCACCCCAGTTTTCTTTTTCTTTTCTACCTCTCAAGTAAATGAAGAAGAAAAAAACTGAAGGCAGAACACAGGGAAGTTTCTGTGAAAGACAAGCTGCCTGTGTTACCTCTCTCCACCCCTCTTGTACTTCCTGTTCTGGACTTTTCCTCCTATGATTCTTCATGAGTCTGGTCTGGTGCTTCACCTGGGAACAGTCCGTTCCAGAGTGCACTCTCACTCACTAGAGGTAATGGTTCTTAGGCCAGGATGCCACGCTGCTCCCAGAGCTGTCCCATGTGCCTGGACTCACCACTGAAGCTTGTCACTGGTGACCTTTGGGGCAAGCAGATCTCTGTCTGCCGTCTACCAGGGAGATCCCATAGCTTTGGCTTTTGTTCTGTCAGACAATAACAAATGGTGCTGTGTTTTTGTTGTGTTTACATGTCACCCATTCACCCCTCAAACACTCTGAGGTAACAGACGTAATGGATGGTAAGTGCAGAGCTGGGACTCCAACCCCAGCCATTTGACTTCTGAGTTTCCAAAGTCATAGTCGCTCCCCGAGTAAGTGGATGGGCCTTTGGTGTTTGTTTTGGGGGTACTGGGGATTGAATTTGTTAGCTTGCTAGGCAAGTGCTCTACCAGTCAGTAATGATCTTTATTAGCGGGTTATTCTCCCATCCAGGCTAGGCTCTGAGAATGCCCATGCTCACTTTGCCTGCAAATGTCTCCTGTCTGACCCTCTATCCCCTTTCTCTCCCATCAGATGCCGATTCAGCTGACGACAGCATTGCGTGTGGTGGGCACCAGCCTGTTTGCACTGGTGGTGCTGGGTGGCATCCTGGCAGCCTATGTGACAGGCTATCAGTTCATCCACACAGAAAAGCATTACCTGTCCTTTGGCCTATACGGCGCCATCCTGGGCCTGCACCTGCTCATTCAGAGCCTGTTTGCCTTCCTGGAGCACAGGCGCATGCGCAGAGCATGGCGGCCCCTGAAGCTGCCGGGTGCGCGGCGGCGCTCAGTAGCACTCTGCATCGCGGCCTACCAAGAAGACCCAGACTATTTGCGCAAGTGCCTCCGCTCAGCCCAGCGCATCGCCTTCCCCGATCTCAAGGTGGTCATGGTGGTGGATGGCAATCGCCAGGAGGATGCCTACATGCTGGACATTTTCCACGAGGTGCTGGGCGGCACGGAGCAAGCTGGCTTTTTTGTGTGGCGCAGCAACTTCCACGAGGCAGGGGAAGGAGAGACCGAGGCCAGCCTGCAGGAGGGCATGGAGCGTGTGCGTGCAGTGGTATGGGCCAGCACCTTCTCGTGCATCATGCAGAAGTGGGGAGGCAAGCGTGAGGTCATGTACACGGCCTTCAAGGCCCTTGGCGACTCGGTGGACTATATCCAGGTAAGGGTGCTTTCTAGGAGTGTGTGTGCTTGGGGCCATAGCCAGCCAATTAGGGCTTCATGCTGTGCATACCTCCAAAGCTCTGCTGAAGAAGGCCACAAGGCGTAATGGGTCTCTGTCTGAAACAGTGCTGGGATCAAACAGACCCAGGCCAGAAACCTAGTTCTGCCTATCTGAAGCTCTGATTCTGGCCAGACCTCTGAATTGATGTCCCTGATAGTAACAGCAGCAAACTGGTACATGGCGTCCACTTTATACCAGGCACTATTGTAGGCATTGCACATATATTTGCTCCTTTAATTCCCATAATATTCCCAGGGGATACTGTTATTATCTCGGTTAGAAGACGGTGAAACAGAAGCACAGACAAATGTGCTTCATGGTGCTCTACTTGCCAGGTTTAGAGTGAGGATGAGTGTGTCAGTGATCTAGATTCACATTTCAGCAGAACATTCAGGGCTAGAACCCTGAGCAGATCCTGCCTACCTCTGTTCAGAGCAGTCATGGGCACCAGTATGGAAAGGTTGGTAAGGTTGACATAGCTTCAATTTTTCATTAACAACCTAGAGAGAGAACTGAGTTTCAAAACCACACATTTCAGTATTTAAAAACAAAACACCCTCAGGATCCCAGATTCTAGATGAGAATTCTGCACTGCATCTACACAGCCTCTATGTCTTGCTTTCACTTCATAAGTCAATGGAAGAAGAATAGTTGGTTGGTCCAATCGTGTGCCTATCTAGTCTTACTAATGGCATGTTTGCTCTCCTCTATTTAAGCGTTCTGTAGTGTGGCTACCTAACTTGTGTATTTTGTTATTTTTGAAAAGTGGTCATGCAAGAGTTGATACCTTTGTCTTCCCTGTCTTCCTAGGCTTAGAGCCTCTTTAGCCATGTAGGAAGGATGTCCTTAAGCTGTTTAATTCTTTAGTTTACTGGGGTTTAGGAGGTCGTCTTCGGTAAACTAAGGAGAAGCACTAAGCCACTGTGACTATATCATACAGTCCCTTAAAGCACATGACCTCCAAACCTACTCTGCTCCACAGCTCCTTTTCTTGCTTATCTGTGAGTAGGTCTGTAAACAGGCTCTCATCTGAGCCATACTTTCCTCTTTATGGCCCAGAGACCTGGGCCTGGGCTCGAGCCTGTGAAAACTTTATGGATTCCAGCCTGCCTTCCAGCAGCCCTGCTGAAGGTGTGTCTTTTTTTTTTTTTTTTTTGTCGGTTAGGACTTGAACTCTGGGCCTGGGCGCTGTCCCTTAGCTCTTCAGCTCAAGGTGAGCACTCTACTACTTGAGCCACAGCGCCACTTCCAGTTTTCTGGTGGTTTATTGGAGATAAGAGTCATGGACTTTTCTGCCCAGGCTGGTTTTGAACCCCAATCCTCAAATCTCAGCCTCCTGAGTAGCTAGGATTATAGCTATGAGCCCACCTTGAGGGTGTGTCTTTGTGGGAGAGAACCGTGCTCTGGACAGTGGGGAAATAGGCACACAAGGCTTTCTTTCCCAACCCTGCGTAGCTATAAAGACTTCCCTGGAGTCAAGGAGGTATGAGTGAGAGTTTGGCAGAAAGTAGTAGTAGAGCCAGCCTGTAAGCTCGGGGGTTTTGAGAACCTTTCCCAGTTCAGACCAGCATATGCAGATGTTCTGTAGGGAGGAGAGAAGCCACGGGAGACATCTAGGCTGGGCCTGGTTTCCCCTCGGCCTTAGGCTGCTGCTTGTCTATACCAGCCTGTCTCCAACAGGAAGATTGGCAGGGGGTGAGGGAGGAAGCAAGGAAAAAGACAAGAGAAAACAACGGTTGAGGTGTTTAAGGCAGCCTCCTTCCTGCAGGCTATGGGCTCTTACTCAGCAACTTGATTTGGGGGCTGAGGATTGAACCCGGCTCCTTATGTCAGCAACTTCAGTATAAACTTAGGTATCTGCAGACCAGGAGTTGGCTTCACCTGTGGGAATCATGACACAGAGCTCAATCTGGGGATCTGGAAACCAAGCATACCTCTCCGTGATTGTTTTGACCATTTCAGGAACATTTTAGAAAACAGGCAAGGAGTCATCCACCAGGGTATGAGTTCAACTAGTAACTCAGAATAAATCCAGGCAAGAGCAGCTGTTGCCCAAACTGCCCATCTTAGAGACTTGGCGTAAAAGTCTGTATTCAGGAACACAGAATGTCTGGGGGCTACGTTTATGATCTCAAGGAGGGGGATTGTGGGTAAGACCAATCTTCACTGCTGGGGTTGCAGGTTGTCTAAGAGGCCAGAGGCTGAAATGTGGATGCCATTAATCTATGACTACCTACATGTGTACTGCTCATTAAGTAGCTTTTGGCAGGAGTCCTTTTTCAGTCTTCTGAAAAATGTCTGTTGGCCCTGGCCCACTGTAGGTGTCATCTGATTCCCAAGACTCTTTCCCCTTTCTGCCCAAGGGCCCTGGAGAAAGATCTTGAGGCCATCTCTGGAGCCAATTTGGCAACAATGTGTCCAGGGCTAATAACCATTTCCCCTCTTCCCAGGTTCAGCACCTACAGTCTCCTGGGTTTCTCTCCTCAGCTTAGTGGCTGCCGAGCTGGGGATTAGAACTCATATTTCCTTACTCTGCTTCCCCATTCCTCTTCTATTTGACATAGATCTTTCTGCTGGCAGTGAATCATGGGAGAGAGGCGGTCACAGGGAGGGAAGGTGTTACGGTCAAAATGGCTGATGATGCACTCCCCTGCAGGTGTGTGACTCTGACACTGTGCTGGACCCAGCCTGCACCATTGAGATGCTTCGAGTTCTGGAGGAGGATCCTCAAGTAGGGGGAGTCGGGGGAGATGTCCAAGTAAGTCACCAGAGATTTCTGGGAAGGGGGCTGGACTGTTTGGGGAGGGTCTCCTCTAACAATTTCCATCAAGATCAAAGGGTTGACCGTGTTTGCTCCCCAACTTCCCTATTCTTTTCAACATTGGGAGGAGGAATGACACTGAACAGTTACAGAGAGGCTGTAGATAAGGAAAGACATAGGATTTGGAGCCCACAGATCCCAGAGGGAACTTCTTTTCTGAGTGGAGGTGTAGCAGGTAGCCACCTCATATTATGGCTTTGAAAAGCCCTTGCTCTTAGGCAACTTGGGCTGAAGAATGCCAGGTAGTCTAGAGCAGACAGGGCCAGATCTCCTTCCAGAGGGTACTATAGGTGATATGCCACTTTTTTTTTTTTTGTCGGTCATGGGGCTTGAACTCTGGGCCTCGGTTCTTCAGCTTAAGATAAGCACTCTACCACTTGAGCCACAGCACCACTTCTGGTTTTCTGGTGATTAATTGGAGATAAAGTCTCACAGGCTTTCCTGCCCCTGCTAGCTGTGAACCTCAATCCTTAGATCTCAGCCTCCTGAGTAGCTAGGATTACCAGCACCTGGCATCATATGCCACTTCTTAGAAGCTTGCCAAATGCCAGAACAAGAGAGTGGTATTTTGCTTTCCAGGCTCTTCTCTGTCACCCCAATTCTGTCCTGCAATAGTGATGGCTTTGGCTGCTTGAACAGGACAATCAGGGTAGATATCTCAGTGGGGAGCTAGTGCCGGGGGGAGTAGAGATGGCTTCCTCCCCCGAGCATTGTTCCAAGGAGGCAATAATGGATGGCAGGAATTTGAGTAACCAGAACAGGCCTCATGGTCTCTTGGTGTCTTGTCTCCTCTGGGGCTTAGATCCCTCAGAAGAGGAAGCCCAAAGCATCTGTTCCCTTACAGATCCTCAACAAGTATGATTCGTGGATATCCTTCCTGAGCAGTGTGCGGTACTGGATGGCCTTCAACGTGGAACGGGCCTGCCAGTCCTATTTTGGCTGTGTGCAGTGCATTAGCGGGCCCCTGGGCATGTACCGCAACAGCCTCCTCCAGCAGTTCCTGGAGGACTGGTACCATCAGAAGTTCCTAGGCAGCAAGTGCAGTTTTGGGGATGACCGGCACCTTACCAACCGAGTCCTGAGCCTTGGCTACCGGACTAAGTATACAGCGCGCTCCAAGTGTCTCACAGAGACCCCTACTAAGTACCTCCGATGGCTCAACCAGCAGACCCGCTGGAGTAAGTCTTACTTCCGGGAGTGGCTCTACAACTCTCTGTGGTTCCATAAACACCACCTCTGGATGACCTATGAGTCCGTGGTCACAGGTTTCTTTCCCTTCTTCCTCATTGCCACAGTCATACAGCTTTTCTATCGTGGCCGCATCTGGAACATTCTCCTCTTCCTGCTGACGGTGCAGCTGGTGGGCATCATCAAGGCTACCTATGCCTGTTTCCTTCGAGGTAATGCAGAGATGATCTTCATGTCCCTGTATTCCCTTCTCTATATGTCCAGTCTCCTGCCAGCCAAGATCTTTGCCATTGCTACCATCAACAAGTCTGGCTGGGGCACTTCTGGCCGAAAAACCATTGTAGTGAACTTCATTGGCCTTATCCCTGTGTCCATCTGGGTGGCGGTTCTTCTGGGGGGGCTGGCCTACACAGCTTATTGCCAGGACCTATTCAGTGAGACTGAGCTAGCCTTCCTTGTCTCTGGGGCCATCTTGTATGGCTGCTACTGGGTGGCCCTCCTGATGTTGTATCTGGCTATTATTGCACGGCGATGTGGGAAGAAGCCAGAACAGTATAGCTTAGCTTTTGCTGAGGTGTGAGATAGCCCCCAAGCAGAGTGGGAAACGTGCAATGGGTCAGGGAGGGGAGGGGAATGGAAATGATGGGGGGAGGGATGAGGGAGTGCTGTGTTTTAGTTTAATGGTCTAAAGGACAAATCTGAAAGGCAAAGAATGGTGACTACAGTATGGCCTGGGCAGCTCTGCTCAGAGAATGCAACACTGATTCTACAGGCTGAGGGCAGAGGGGGATTTTGTCAATCTTGAGGCTGCTCATCTCTCTGCCCTTGCAGTGGACTCTGAGAAAGATGCTCCTTCCTCCCCCTGGGATGTAGAGGGAACTCGGGAGTATGCTGAGCTAAGCAATAAATCCCACCCTGTGACAACTTCTGAAAATGAAGCAATGACAGCTGTGGGAAGGTTATCCTACTAACCCATCTGAACACAAAGAGAAGTGGCAGGTGAATTTCCATGGAGAGATCTGGGTTATCTTGTATCCCCAACCTCCCTAATCCTCATGTAGGCTTCAATGCATTAAGATTGTGCCTGAAATACAAGGCCCGGAAGCTTGATCTTTGGGCATCAGACTACAGGGTCTATTAATGGTGCTTTCTGTGATGTACCACAACTCAACGTCCCAGGATGAGTGAAATCAGCAAGTCAGCACTGAATACTGCTGTATTTACTGTAGTAAAAAGGCAGGTTTGCCAGGAAGAACAAAGAAATTGAGAGAGTGCTAAAGACCATGGAGAACATGGAAGCTTACAGCTGAATATGTCCCAAATGGAAACTGCTCAGACATCTAAATGGATTCTAAGCTTGTCTGTGACGTTCGCTGGACAGATAAAATGTTATAGTCATCTCTCACCAGGAAGATCAAATCCCAATGTATTCAGATGGGAAGGAAGCAAAGACTTGTGGATTTTAACTTGTATACTCCTGGATTCCTCTCAGATTTAGCTCATCAAAGGCTAGATAGCCTATCCTCCTCACTTTGCTTTCTTGAAAGGCACTTTTTTTTTTTTTTTTTTTTTTTTTGAGGATGGTAGATAAAATGGCAGTCAGAGTTCTTACAGGACCCTGTGAAATAGTCAGGCCAGGTCTGTGAACATACAGGAAGAATATTCAGAGCCTTTGAGGACATTGGTCACCATCTTAGAACCGGTAGACGCCTTGGCAGTTGGTTAACTACATGTGATTTTATTACTGTCATCGACAATCATCTCCAATGGAAAGCTTTTCAGCAATGCCAAAGTGAGCCCTCAACTCCATGTTGGTCATCTTTGAGACTGTCCATTTTCAGTGGCCTCTTCAGAGAACGCTTACAACTAGGTTGTGGATAGTCATTACTGCATTTACTCGCTTCTGTCCAGAAGCCAAACTCGGAGATGGAGTTGGTTCTAATCCTAAGGTTCTTATTTCTCTCTTATATCCCTCAGGGCTGATTTTCCTCTGCTGCTGTTGGGGAGTGATTGGAAACCATTTTCTAGTGATTTGCAATCCAGACTGTACTTGGCTTTGGGATTTGAAACCTGGGGTCCTCACTGAGCCTCTGAGTGTTGCTCACTCTCCTTCCAAATGGCCTTTCTCAGAGGGTCCACCTAACCCCCTGAGAACCAGAACTAAGGTGGAGTGTGTGGAAACGTGCACAGGTGCTCCCTATAAAGGAAGGAGGTGTGCTCTGAACTGGATGGGCAAACCCTGGTGCTTCCCTTCATTTCCCAAGAATTCAAGGGTTTTTCCAGGTGCAGCAACGCTACATAGACCTCGTTTCTAGTAAAACTGCTAGCGGATGTCAAACCCAACCCATGATGGCTGGGAAACAGCAAGCATTTGCTAAAGACAAGTTGTTCCAGGCTCTGTGTTTTCTGCTGGCCAAGAAGTAAGCTATTTTGAGCATTACAATGGAGGAAATCCAGTCAGCCAGCTGCAGAGCTCAGACTTCACTAAGGGCTGTTTTACTTCAGTTTTACTTGAAGGTTAATGCAGGATGATGGACTCTGGGTGGACAACTGACTGTTCTACCATCAGCCGTGACTTGTACTGTTGTCATCAACTTTCCTCAGATCAAAAAAGGAAAAAAGACAGGTAGTAAGTTCACAACGTTTGACCTCGACTGGTTTTTCTAAGTTATTTTGTACAATTTTCAGCAGCAAAACCAAACTGGGTCTTCAGCTTTATCCCTGTTTCTTGCAAGGGAAGAGGCTTTGTACAATTAATTGGACTCATTTTGGTTTTTAAGAATTTTAATCTCTTTTGTATTTCTATAATAACCTGTAAGCATATTTATTTTCACTTTTTTTTTTTTTCTAAATGAGGGAACTGTATTTAACATGAAAGTTGGGGAAGCAGCCTCACTCAGTGGTGTTTGCATTCATGCTCTTGCTGATGACAATTCAGTCTTCTATGGTCTATGGAGCAAAGTCAGTATCCAGGAGCTTGTCACTGGAGTTCATCTTCAGAAGCACCTGTTTGTCCAGTTTCTTCACTCTGTGTTTTGCCAGAGCCCTTCCCATGGAAGCATGGCACAAGTGCTGGAAAGCTTGCCTGGGGCGGGAGTTTTGGTTTTCTTTTTTTTAAACCTGTTTTCATCCACATACTTTATCTTAACATGAGGTTTGTAGATATCTTTCTTGAAGTCCTAGTGAAGTCACAATATTCCTCCTGCCATCTGTACTTTTATGTGACCATCTTGCCCCTGATACAGTATGTGGCTGAGAGTGGGCCTCGTGGGGGCTTTACTCAACCAACTTTCTGCACTGTGATTTCCAGCCAGCCCTTTACTGACACCTTGGGAGCAGGGCTGTAGCCAGTCTTTTTGTTGTTGTTGTTGGTAGGTCATGGGGTTTGAACTCAGGGCCTGCACATTGTACCTGAGCTTTTCTGCTTACAGGTAGGGCTCTACTACTTTGAGTCATAGCTCCACTTCTTGGTTTTTTGGGTGGTTAATTAGAGGTAAGAGTTTCACACTTTCCTTCCCCAGGCTGACTTTGAATCTGGATTCTCAGATCTCAGCCTCTTGAGGAGCTAGGATTACTGGTGTGAGCCACCAGTTCCCGGCATGACCAGCCTTTGATTCAAAAGAGGCTCCGTGTTCAAGATGGTGGTAGAGGAGGGAGAGAAGTCATCTAGACTGACCATGTTCCAGTTAGATTCTTCCAGTCCCTTTCAGAGCCCCTTTGGCTGGGTGTTCCTCCTCTTCCTCCTTGTTGCCAGCTAGCTTGTAGGTGGAGACTTCCCTCAAGATGTGGCAGAACTCAGAGGTGGTGTCTAACACAATGGCCCTCTCTTGATTAGGTCCTCCTAATCTCATTGGAGAGGCTCCCACTTCTTCATGCTTATCTAGCACCTTCTGGATGTTTATACCTACTCTACCAGCTTCATGTGCTGCCTGCCTGCACCTTTTCTCCAGCTGCTTCTACAGCTCAAGCTGTCTATCCTGTCTTTGCTAATGTCCATGTTCTTCACACAGGAGTTATCAGATGAGGTGGGGGCCCAGATACAGGTTCCTTCTTAGCCTCCAGGACTCTCCCCTCTTTGTTTTGGCACTTGGCATGGACCCTGCTCAGTAGTCTGTAACCAAATCCTCATCTTGAATTTGATCTTCCAGAAGCACTAAGCCATCCACCTTGAAATTTTAACATCAGGGCGTTGTTCAGAGTTGTCATTGCAAAAGTCAGGTAATGAGTACATTGGACAATGTCACCCCTTCCTTTGCTCCTGTTTCTCCCATCTCTCTGTCTACAAGTTGTGTAGTTCATTTTTCCTCCACTTGTGTTTTCTTCTCTTGGTCTTTCTATAGTTCACCATGTCTTTGGATGTGAAATACTCAGAAGTAAGCCATGGCCTTACCGAGCTCAAGGACTGAGCCTGCTACTGTAGCTTAGCTGGAATCTCTTCTGCCTCACATTACTGCAGGACTCAACCCCTTCATTGCATTCATCTTCTCAAACTTTTGGTTTAGCAGAAACTTTTCCCTGGCAGCTGCCCACTTTAGAGTTCCTTTGGTGCAAGAACAAAGCATTGAAATGAGTAGCATGGAAGGCTCTTGGGGCCTTTTTTTTTTTTTCTTTGGTTGGTTGTGGGGCTTGAACTCTGGCCTGGGCGCTGTCCCTCAGCCTTTCAGCTCAAGACGAATTCCCTACCACTTGAGCCATAGCACTACTTCCAGCTTTTTCTGCTTATGTGGGGCTGAGGAATCAAACCCAGGGCCTCATGCATGCAAGGCAAGCGCTCTACCACTGAGCCACCTTCCCAGCCCTTGCCCACTTCTATCTTGACAACATATAACTCCAAGGGTTTTTCAGCTCCTACTTTGCTGAGAGTCTACCTGATGCTGAGTGCCTGAACATTTCCTGTGCTAGTCTTGAAGCTAGCATTGGCTTCAGAGCATTGTGCCCTCAAGTCACCAGCTCAGAGTGCTGGGCCACCTGTTGGCTCTCTCCAAACACCTTTGGCTCTGTTCCATCCTTTTACTGTTTGCGCCGCTCTGGTCCTTGTGCTTATATAGTCCTGGCTGCCTTTCTTATCTTTCCTTGGTGCTTTGTTGGCAACCTCATGGTGCTAAGTCAGCCTGGAGCCTGTCACCCAAACGCAAACCCTTCTAGGTCACAAGGCAGCTGTTCTCCTTGTTGCTGGCAACCAAGAGCAGCTGCTTTGGTCCTTTGCTGCTTCTCTAAGCCTGTTTTTGTGTTGTTGTTTTAACTTTTCAGGTCAAAAATTTTATACTGCACTCACGTATTTGTCAAAATAAAGATTGTTATATAATGCTGGTGTGCTAGCTTTCCATTGCTGTTACAAAATACCTGTCTATAAGGAGGAAAGACTTATGCTGGCAGTTTCAACTTTCAATCCATGGTCATTTGGTTGGTTTCCAGGCACACGGTGAGGCAGTGTCATGAAGGGGAACATGTGATGGAGAAAAGCTACTCACCTAGTAGCCACAGGGAATGACAGAGATCAAGAGGGGAAGCTGGGGACAAAGCCCATGGACAAGGCCATGCCCTCAATGAAAACAAAGCCCCACCTCTGTAAGACTACCACTTCCCAATGAGCCTAGTAAGCTATGGAGCTACTGCTGGTGCTACCTGTCCACAGATGAGGTTAGAAAAACCCACTTTTCCCACCTGTTAGCTGCGCTGGGGACAGACCCTTCAGCACATGATCCCAAATTCTGAGTTGGTATCTCTAAGTGACTTCTACTTTGTCCTTGGTAAAGCCGGCTATTTGTTATGGACTCAAAGAATGGATATAGAAAATTTAATTAGTGGATCTCAAAAGTAGGATTAAGGCTGAGAATGTTGTTTAGTGGTAGAGTGCTTGCTTAGTGTGCACGAAACCCCAGGTTAAATTCCTCAGTACCATACGAACAGAAAAAAAACTGAAGTGGCACTGTGGCTCAAGTGCTAGAGTATTAGCCTTGAGCAAAAGGAGCTCAAGGACAGTGCCCAGGCCGAGTTCAAGCCCCAGGGCTGGCAAAAAAGAAGAAAAAAAAAAGTAGGATTAAGTTGCCACAGCTGCTCTGACCCATAATGGCTTAATTTTTATTATAGAGGTGAGGCAAGGTTGGTAGTGCAGTAACTGGCAAGTGAGTGTGACCAAAGGCTAAAACCAAAGCTTGCTCCTTCCTAAGTGCAAGCATTTGACAGGTAATGCAGGTCTGTGGCCAAACTATGAAAAGCAGAGTAAACTTCTCTCTCCCTATAAAGTATTTAACAAATAGAAGGACAGCAGCAGCCCTCACATCCCATTTATTAAAGAAACAGTAAGAAAAGATACAATGCAGGAAAAACACCAACCACCCTTCACATCAGGCTGAACAAAGCACAGTGATTTCGCCCCTTGATCCCCCTCCCCCCTCCCCGCCCTCACTAGTTTAAATTTTGAGGTTCTTTGATTGGGAGTACCAGTGGAAAGGGAGCTGGATAAGCAGAAGAGCCTTAAATCTGGCCCCTGGAAATCTCAGAAGGGGCCACTGGCAGAGTCAGTGAAGCCGAAGTTTATTTGGTGGGTCTGTGAAGTGGTTGTTCACCTTGCCATCTGTATTCAAGTCCCCAGGGAAACATCTGGCAGTAGAAGATGACCAGGTCCGAGCTGCCCAGGTCAGAGCTATTAAAGCATGGTCTGTTACCAATGCACCATCTCTAGAGCAGTAAGCGGAGTCTTCAGTGGGGAGTAGAGAATTACACACGAATTGGGATCTACAAGCCAATGTATCCCTGAGGAAAAGTCCACAAGAACAACTCAAGAAGCAAGTAAGAAACAAGGGGCAGAAAGCTGTGGCACAAAAACACTGCAGGCTTCTAGAAGGCTGCAAATCGTTTCTCTTGAGGCCAGGATCATCCCCACCTGTCATAGTCCATGTCCACAGATAACATTTCACTTTCAGCCAAGAAAAAAAGCAGAGAAAAAAGATGGCTCATTTGAACTTGAGCCCCAGCTATGTTCTTCAGACAGTAGCTCAATATCTACCCTTTTACTGCCAAGAACCAGAGCTTGGAAAACACGGTGGTTCTAGTGGGAAAGTGGTGTTTAAGGGGGTAACATTCCGTTTGGGTACATTGTAGCCATTGGACCCCCTGGTCTGGGGAAAGCAGCTGGGTTTGTGCCAGGTAGGCCCCCCATTCTAGGAAATGGAACCAAACTCTTGCCTGCAGGGCCATTCATCCTTGGAAAGGAAGCTGGGTTTAGACCCAGGGTTCCAGTTGGCCTTGCAAAAGGAGCTGTGTTGATACCTGCAGGGCCTGCTGAAGAGCCTAGGTGCCCAGCTGACCTGGGGAAAGGAACCTGGCCAGGACCTAATGGGCCAGCAGACCTTGGGAAGGCAGCTGGACTTGGACCCTGTAGGCCAGTGGCCCTTGGAAAGTTGGCTGGGTTGGGGCCCAGTGGCCCAGAAGCTCTTGGGAAAATTGCTGGGCTTGAACCCTGGAGGCCAGCAGACCTTGGGAAGTTACCTGGGTTTGAAGCCATTGTGCCAGAAGACTGAGAAAAGGCAGTAGGGTTCAATCCTCCTGAACCTGTCCCCCGTGGAAAGGGATTGTTATTCACCCCCATGGGACCACCTGGTCTTGAGAAGTGAGCTGAATTAGGGCCTATGGGGCCAGAAGCCCTCGACATGGGAGATGGATTTGGCCCTGGTAGGCCAATCCCTCGAGAACTAGGACCTGTGTTCGGGCCTATGGGGCCAGGTATTCTTGCCATAGAGGATGGGTTTGTACCCATGTTTCCAGAAGCCTGCGAGAAAGCAGCTGAATTTGTTCCCAAAAGACCTGCTGCTCTTAGAATAGGGGCAAGATCTAGGCCTTGAGGTCCAGCCATTCGTAAGTTAAGATTAGAGCCTGTGCCCAAGAGGCCACCAGCTCTGGTGTCTAAATTTGGGCCAGGGCCCAGGCCACTGGCCCTAGGGTTGGGCCCAAGACCTGAACCCAAGCCACTTGCTCGCGGGTTTGGCCCAAGGCCTGGGCCTGGAAACATACCTGACCTAGGGGCAGAGTTTGGGCCTAAAAAGCCTGATCTCAGATTGGTATTTGGTCCAGGGCCCAAGCCAACTGGCCTCGGATTGGGAGGACCATTCCCAGAAGACAAGATTCCGGCTCTCAGGTTGGGTCCGGGTCCGGGTCCAGGTCCAGGTCCAGATCCAGGGCCCATAGGGCCACCTCTGGGATCAGGACTGACACCCAGGAGACCACCTGCCCTCGGATTAGACATAGGACTGGGTCCTGGGAGACCTCCTAACCTGGGGTTAGACATAGGCCCCGGGCCCGGAAAAGCCCCTGTTCTAGGGTTTAGAGCTTGTCCTGGTCCAGAACCCAAAAGACCACCTGGTCTTGGGAAAGAAACTGCGCCTGTGCCAGTAGGATTCATCCCTCTTGGAAAAGAAGTCATGCTTGGGTCACGAGCACCAGTGGGAAAAGGTGCTGAGTTTGAAGCCAAGGACCCTGATGAAGTTGGAAAAGGAGATGGGTTCCTTGGGAATGGGGCCAGATTCCCACCAAGAGAACTGGCTGCCATAAGGAAAGGATCCGAGTTCACACCTAGCGAGTGGCCCGTATTCAGAACAGGACCCCCCTGCGGTCCCAGGGATCCGTCAAACCGTCCTCGAGGTGGCAGTGGAGCACGAGTCCAAGGAGTAGGCCGCTCTCTAGGGAAAATCCGGGGTTCTTTCATACTTTCTTGGGGACGTTGGTGATAATAGGCTTAGGACGAGTTTTGAAAAGGATCTTGTTTTTGATGAGCGCTGTCACCAGGTACTGGGTGCCAGTCGCGTGGCGAGGTTCACTACAATCTTGCTCCCCAGAAGCTTGTTTGACAAGGACTGCAAAAGGTTTCTCCAGGTGGATGATTTTCCCATACAGGATATGGTGCCCCACGATCAGCACAGGGACTCCCTTGGGCAAAACAAGAAGATGCCTGAGGTTTAAGGACGCCAAGGCCATTTCACTCAAGTGCCTTTTAAAGCTGCTCTCGGCAGGCTGCTGGCACCTTCACTCTCTGGTCTGGTGATATACCATTGTTAAGCAGTCACACTGGACAACCCACCCTTTCACATTTCTTTCTTTCTTTCTTAGCCCCAACTCAGAAAATTTACACTTCCATTAAGGTGACCTTTCCAGAGTCCCAAAGCTAAACTTTCCTGCTTCTGGCTGAGGGAGAGCAAGCAGATAGCTCTGCAGATTAGCTAGACCTTGAATAACAAACCTGAGGACAGTCCTCACTCTGGGTCCTGGGAGTACCACCTTGGTGTAGCTTGCTTTCCTGAGGCATTACGCAGGGAAAGAAAAGCCCCCTCACCTCAGTGGTGTAATGTAGGTCTCCCAGGAGGTTTCCAGCTAATCCAGTGCTGTAGCGAGCCTCGATCTCCCCCTGTAGCTCCATCAGCACCCATTCTGCCAGGCCTCCAGCCCCCGCACTGCAAGCAAAGGGCTGGCGGTTACAATATTTTTGAGGGGTGAAGGATGAGTAGTGTCCTACACCACCTTTGAAGGCCCAAATAAACCCTTTGTTGAGCATAAGCTCTTGGGAAAACTGAGCAGTGCTAAGCACTTAACTAGAGATCCCAATGCCAATATTTATGCAGCTAAGGACCCTGATTTTCCTAGAAAAATGTAAAACCTAATTGCCCTAATGGTTCAAGCTAAATAAAATTTCAAAATGTACTCACCTGGAAATAACAATTTGCACCATGAGCTTTCCTTCTTTAAAAAGCAACTGAGAATAAACTACAAAAAGAAAAAAAGGAAAACTATTTAGCCATCAGTAACAGTTAATAACAAAATAACAGTGAATACCACTTGTGTGGTAGGCACTTGGTAAATACTTAGACATGTTATTACTCTCTTCCCCTTAATGGTGCCATAGCTAAGTTTTCTTTTTAAACTGATTCTGCACATGCTAGATGCAGTTCAGTGATATATGTACTAATTTAAAGAGACAGAATAGAAACCAAGACAAACATTGCAAGGACTTCTCTTGATCACTAAACTAATGTGTCTTTCTCAAGGTTATTCTGTCTCGTACTCTGTTTATCTTCAAATCACAATGTGATTTTCCCCTCAATGATATAAATTTCATGTCTACCACTTGATTATCTTGTTTTTAGGTTCAAAGGGCCTCTCGTTAAAAATAAAGCCAAGAGAACTGAAAAGTTCTCACAACTATAGAGAACTGGTAAGCTGACTTCTGATGTTGACTCAATAAATACTGCAAACCACCTTTCATTTGGATATGAAAAAATGTTCCAATGAACATAGATGACTTTTCTTTTGTATAACAGCACCACCTGGTGGTAAATTGCATTACTCTAAAAATTGTTTTAAAAATTTTTGCCTAAGGACAAGTGGCTTCACTTGCATTTGTGTTATTGTGAGAAGGAGATTCAGAGGGGAATGAGGAGGTAGGGGACTAAAACTATAGCTTCTGGCTAGGTCTTTCAAATGTAGGTACAGCTCTAGTGGAAGGCTATTAACTATACTGTAGAAAGTTAACAGGTTTTAGAACTATATTTAAACTTTGCACCTAACAACACCTAAGATTCTTAACAGTATGTGTTTTTCTTTCCTTTTCAGGGTCTCCTTCCTTCCTTCCTTCTTTCCTCAGGGATTTGTTATACAGCCCAGGTTGATCTTGAACTCATGATCCTCTTCCACCTAACAAGTGCTGGGCTTATAAATGTGTACCACCTTGTCTTGCCAAACAAGTTTCTTTACTGGTATGTTAATCTTCATTTTGGATCATCAGGGAAAAATACTGCCTTATAGAATGGAAGAACTGTCATTCTCAGAGTGCCAGGCACACTGGGAACATGAAATTGGTCAATACATTGTAGTTCTGTTTTGAATTTTTAATATGGTCCGGATGCTGTGCACTTATAAAAGTGGTATTCATTCATTATGAAAATTATACTTATCCTTATTTTCATTAGCTGAGGCTAATGAAGCATACACCAACTACTCATATGGGGCACACACACACACAGCTAGTGTGCACTAGAGCCAAGATAGGAACATCTTTCTATTCAGACTTATTATCCAATGTTGCCTTCCCAAATGGTAAGACCAAGTGTCAAGGAGAATGAAAAGGAGGGCTGGGAAGGTGGCTCAGTGGTAGAGCGCTTGCCTTGCATGCCTGAGGCCCTGGGTTTGATTCCTCAGCACCACATAAAGAAAAAAGCACTGTGACTCAAGTGGTAGAGCGTTAGCCTTGAGCTGAAAAGCTGAGGGACAGCGCCCAGGCCCAGAGGTCAGGCCCCAGGACCAGACCCCAGAAAAAGAAAAAAAAAAAAAGAGAATGGAAAGGAATGAAGTCATTTGGCAGTAAATACGCATATTCAAGTGCTGCTCAGAATGACAAAAGGGAACTAAACAAGCCAGACCTTCTGTAGCAGCACCCAACAAAGGACAATACATCAAAGAAGGCCAGAATATGATTTAACAGAACCTGGACACCTTTAAAATCCTTTTTTCAAGTTCTTTTTCTTTTGAGACAAGGTCTACCTAGGCTGGCCTGAAACTCCTCCTCCTCCCCTCAGTCTTTCTGAAACTCCTCCCCTTCCCTCTCCTCTGCCTTTCTACTGCTCAGATTTCTGGATAACAATTCAAAATTAAAAGATTTCAGTTCAGGTTCTATACTATAGAGATGAAATTCTATTGTGTAATCACATAAAAATCACTTAAAAATTCTGGGGCTATCATCTAAATTAGGACTCAATTATGACTTATAACACATGCAAAACTATTTTAAAGACTAAGTTCTAAGCTTGGTGTTGGTAGCTCACACATGTAAGCCTATAAACTTGGGAGGTTGAGGTCTGAGAACTGTGGTTCAAACCCAGCCCAGGCAGAAAAGTCTTTTAGACACTTATCTCCAATAAACTGCTCAGAAAAAGGCTGAAGTGGTGCTGTGGCTCAAGTGGGAGAGCATTAGTCTTGAACAAAAGAAGCTCAGGGTTACTGCTAGGCCCTGAGGTCAGTCCCAAGATCAACACACAGAAAAAAATTTCAAAAGGCAAGATAAGCATTGCCTTTAACTATAACTTAAGTACAATTTAGATACAAATTAAAGGGCCCAGTAAGGCAACTTGAGAAGGGATTCTTGTAAAGAAACATTATTTTTATGTAATTTTTTTGGGGGGTCCAGTCGTGGGGCCTGAACTCTGGGCCTGGGCACTGTCCCTCAGCTCTTCAGTTCAAGGCTAGCGCTCTACCACTTGAGCCACAGCGCCACTTCCAGCTTCTTTCTTTTTGCTTATGTGGTGCTGAGGAATCGAGCCCGGGGCCTTGTGCATGCAAGGCAAGCATTCTACCATTGAGCCACCTTTCCAGCCCATGTAATTTATTTTTGTGCTGGTCCTAGGGCTTGAACTCAGGGCCTAGACGTTGACGTTGTCCTTGAGCCTTTTTTTTTTTTTTTTTTTGCTGAGGACTGGTGCTTTACCACTTGAACACAGTGCCACCTGTGGCTTTTTCTGAGTAGTTTATTAGAGATAAAGGGTCTTCCAGACTTTCCTGCCCAGGTTTGACTTCAAACTTCAATACTCAAATCTCAAGCCTCCTAAGTAGCTAGGATTGCAGGCATGAGCCACCAGCACCCAGTTGCAAAGAGGCTTTTAATGACTGATGACCCAGTTCATTTTCCTTGACGGGTGTTAAGTTATAGTAAAAGGTGTTTTAAGAAGTAAGAAGGTGTTTACATAGGTTAAGGTATTCTAGGATGCTCAGAAAAAGATAAAACCAAAATCAATATTGGGCTGGGAAGGTGGCTCAGTAGTAGAGTGCTTGCCTTGCATGCATGTATGAGGCCTTGGGTCCCATTCTTCAGCACCACATAAGCAGAAAAAGCCAGAAGTGGCGCTGTGGCTCAAGTAGTAGAGTGCTAGCCTTGAGCTAAAGAGCTGAGGGACAGTGCCCAGGCTCAGAGCTCAGGCCTCACGACTGACAAAACAAAACAAAATCAATCTTTTTACATGCTTTGGCCACAGGTTTGAGAAAGAAATGTGTGGACTGTTTGGAAGTGGATGCAGAAATTTTCAGTGCATTCTCTTGTTAAAATAGGAATTTGAACAATAGCCTAAGTACATAGAAGCATCGGCATACCAATCCCTGGGGCTTCAATGAGCACATACGCTGCTTATTGATACTAGCTGGCATCTAGCAATGCCCTTGAAAATTATTAATTTCGTGGTTTATAGTCTCATCATTCTGTTGTGGCACCCCATCAGTAAAAACTTGTCTCTATAGGAATGCTTCCAAGTGAACACACAAATGAAGGGCTCAAGCTACATATGTGTAAATTTGTGTACACAAGGGTGTATTTAACAATAAGAAACATGAAGAACATCTCTTTGGTGACAAGCAGGATGTCAATGTGCAGTTACAAGTATAAAAACATGCATTGTAATTCATCCACCCGCAAAAGGAAGCAGAAAATAAAAACAAAAAAGAGGTGAAGCATAATATAGGTGAGTATTCCTAATCTAAAAGTTTGAAATACTACAAAATCTGCAATTTGTCCTAAAACCTGAGAAACTCCAAAACTTGAGACACTTTTTGTCATAGTATTGTAAGGAATATTTAACCTGTAACAAATCAAATCCTGCGATTAACAACAAATGAAAAAGACAGTACAATGAAAGTTCCCTAGGTGACAGGTTTTCCAAGTCTTCATTCACTCCTGACTGCAATAACACTTTTAAAAAGACAACTGAACAAAAAAGAAAAAAAAGAAAGACAACTGAAACAATCTCTAGTTGTTTTGTCTAAGATTTTGCTTGTTTAGAAACTGCAGCTTGTACATTTTGAAGCACAACTTAAGAATGGCCTATAGCCAGTCGCCAGTGGCTCACACCTGTAATCCTAGCTCAGGAGGCTCAGATCTGAGGATCGTGGTTCAAAGCTAGCCCAGGCAGGAAAGTCTGTGAGACTTTAATCACCAGTAAACCACTAGAAAACCGGAAGTGGTGCTGTGGCTCAAGCAGTAGAGCCCTCGCCTTGAGCTGCAGAGCTGAGGGACAGCGCCCAGGCCAAGTTCAAGCCCCACGACCGACAAAAAAAAAAAAAGAATGGCCTATATATCAAATCATGAAAGGAGTTCAAGGAAAGCCTCTCCAAGGCCAGTTCAATCCCAAATTTGGCTATACCCAACTAACCCATCTCTGTTTACAAACAAGTCCAGGTTGACAGTGTAACTGTAGAACGGGAGAAACTTCTGTGATGTAGCTTTTCAAAAGGATTGTTCAAATTCATTATATTTCAAAATGGTATCAGTCTTATAGGTCACAACTAAAGTGCAGTCCTGGAAGGATAAAGATGTAGGAAAAATTAAGCTCTTAGCCCTGCAATAAATTATGTCCTCTACCCCCAATCTCCTAAGGCAGGGAGAAAAGGATTCATCTCTGTTTTTCTGGACTAAAAAACTAATAGCTAATTCTGCATTAACCAGATGACTTTACTTCTGTAAGGGAAACTTAAAAAACAAACATACTTCATACATTTTAGTTTAACTCCCAATAACATTTAAAACACTGCCCCCACCTCCTTTTTTTTTGGTCCTGGGCCTTCAACTTTGGTTAGGGAGCTGTCCTTAGGCTGCTTTTGCTCAAGGCTAGACTCTACCACTTGAGCCACAGCACTATTTCTGGCTTTTTTTTGTGATTTATCGGAGATAAGAATCTGAAGGACTTTCCTGCCCAGGCTGGCTTAGAATCACAATCCTCAGATAATCAGCCTCCTGAGTAGTTAGGATTACAGGAGTTAGCCACTGGCACCCAGCCCACATCCTCTTTTTGGCTTCAATTCATGCCAGGTTAGGGTGGAGACATGTAAAGTTTTTGTTGTTGTTGTTTTGTCGGTCGTGGGGCTTGAACTCTGGACCTGAGCGCTGCCCCTCAGCTTTTCAGCTCAAGGCTAACACTCTACCACTTGAGCTACAGCGCCACTTCTCATTTTCGAGTGGTTTAATAGAGTTTCACGGACTTTCTTGCCCAGGCTGGCTTTGAACCACGATCCTCAGATATCAGCCTCTTGAGTAGCTAGGATTACAGGTATGAGCCACTGTCGCCCAGCAAGGCAAGACTTTTTTTGGTGTCAGTCATGAGGCTTGAACTCATGGCCTGGGCACTGTCCTTTTCTACTCAAGGCTAGCATTCAACCAACTGAGCCACAGTTCCCACTTCCAAGTTTTTTAGGGATTAATTGGGGATAAGAGTCACAAACTTTCCTGCATGGGTTGACTTTGAATCTTGATCCTAAGATCTCAGCCTTGTTATAGGAATTGAGACACTGGTGCCAGTCTCAAGACCATTTTTTTTTTGGTCAGTCGTGGGACTTGAACTCTGGGCCTGGGTGCTGTCCCTCAGCTCTTCAGCTCAAGGCTAGCGCTTTACCACTTGAACTACAGCACCACTTCTGGCTTTTTTTTCTGCTTATGTGGTGCTGAGGAATGAAGCCAGGGCCTCAAGCACTCTAGCCACATTCCCGGCCCCAAGACCATATTTTTTTTTTTTTTTTAAGGAAAGTAAGCAAATAGACTTCAAAGAATCAAATCTAAACCTACAATGGGAACTGTAACCAAAATCCAGACTGAGCTGGATATGCCTTGTCATTTAGCTTCTAGATCTACAGTAACTATTAAAATATCATAAAGAATTCAACAAATTGAAGTACCACCCCACTGACTTAAGCAGTCCAGGCAGAGGATTATCAGTACAAAAAAGGAGCTCCACTTCTCAAGACAGCTAATAGGAAAAGAGGCTTCAAGAAGACAAAGACTGGTCACAGAGCTAGTAAGTAGTACAACCATTTGTGGACCCCAATCACCCTAAAATAAGTCTCCCTTGTAGTCTTTCTCTCAGCCCTGTTTCATATTGTACTTTTATATGAGATTCTACTGCTTTACAGTTAGCCTAGCTCTTTTTTTTGCCTGTCATGGGGCCTGAACTCTGGGTCTGGGCACTGTCCCTCAGCTCTTCAGCTCAAGGCTAGCGCTCTACCACTGGAGTCACAGCACCACTTTCGGCTTTTCTTGTTTATGTGGTGCTGAAGAATCGAACCCAGGGCCTCATGCTTGCAAGGCATGCACTCTACTGCTGAGCTACCTTCCCAGCCCCTAGCCTAGCTCTTATCTTACTTACAAATAAGTAATCACGTAACTTGCAACCAAAGTAGCTAGCATCTGAGATAGACAATCAAAAAGAAGCTTTTCATTTTATTCAATCCAGGATATTTCTTTTCTTTCTTGAAAAACATCCAGAAATTAACTCAATGCTACATTCAGCATTCAAAACTTTACCCCAAACCTCTGCTCCTTAGGACTAAGAAAAAAAGCAGAGAATGGAAACATTTTTTTGCCATTGGTTGGTTCATTTTAACTTTTGACAAAATTCAGTTCTCACTCTGTGCTCTCTGGATTGAGCTTGCTATTAATAAAAAAAAACCAGACTTATCAATGATTCTTATAATGGTAACGTATCAAAATAAAATGTGGCAGAAGTACAAGATATAGTCACCTTTTAAAGACTATTAAAGGGTTTTGACTCAAAGATTTAAGCTATCTACAAATGAGTAAATTTTTTTAGAGCTAAATGTTTTATCAATTTTTATTAGAACATTTCTCATCGGTTTTTTTCTCTTTTCTTATATTGGGGCTTGAACCCAGGGCCTTATGCCTTACTAGGCCTGTGATCTACCATTATTTTTCTTTCGGGCATCCAACTTTAGTTTGCTAATCCTTGATTTAAACTTTACTTTTAAAATCGAGATATTACTCTTTAACCATTATAAAGTGTAAAAAAAATTTATGTTCAAAAACTTAATACATTTTAAACATTGAAAACATGACACAAATTCATTTGCAAATTGCCAGGCCAACAGCATTTATTGAGCTTTTGTTTGGTCCCAGGGTCTATATTTGTTTAGGGATGAGTCTCACTTATCCGATCAACCTGAGTTCTATGCCACCATCTATCTTGTTGACTGTGGTTAATTTAACCTAGGTTAAATTATCAACAACTTGGACATAAAAATGCCTATTTAAAAAATGTGGTAATGAATGTAGAGCTTTTAGCACACTGATGAACTCAAGGTAATCTCTAGGGTCAAACTATTGATTCCCAAAGGATCTGGCATTTTCATAATACATGTCTAGTAGCAGCGTATCACACTACTAGGCTATAATTGTTTTAATAATGGACACCATGGACTAAAACATTTTATAAAAGCAGTAGGCAGATTAAAGTTAGGTTTATATAACTGAAGAGCAATCCAACACTATAGTCAGGGTTCACTAAACTGCCTCAGGGACTAAGCTCTGGAAGGTCTTTTCTTTGCTGGAGACTTTTTATCTATGTGCCTTTCCACCAAATGAAAAACTGATTTACAACTCAATACAGATTACTTTTATTGTAAGTGTTACTGTTGTTTTTGTGATTGAAGGGGATGGCCTTAGTTTCCAAGGGGACCTTGTCTCTTGGCAGGTTTATGTTACTAAGTCTAAAATCCTATTTTTAAATGAGACACTTGCTGCCCTACAAAAAGGGGCTATGGAGGAAAGGTAGAATGAATGCTTCCAAACGTTTCTTTAGTGAAGACTGTGTTCAAAAACGTGTGTAGATACTATGCATACACGTGGTACTTTCCCATAACACTTTACGATCCCCATGTTGGAGGGAATCAATTACTGGTATTTGTAGACAACGAGTAGAAAAGATGGCTTCAGTCGTCTGAGTTACTCCAGTTTTCTCCATCTTCTGCTACTCTGCAACCCCATCTCAACCTTTCCTCCTCCTCCTGCCAAGGTACCTTTCTCTCCCCAGCCAGCTACCTTTTTAGTCCTATTGAGATATCCCTCCATGCTGGATTCTCCTCCCTTTTATTCCATCTTCCCCCAGCCCCCCACTCCATCTGGAGCTACAAACATTTCCTATCCCTAGCCCCGCCCACCTTCTGGAACTCAGTCGCTTCCCTCCCCTTTTCTCCACTCCCCCCGCCCCAAACTACCCCCGGACTTGCTGGAATCCTTTGCCAAGAGGTTTAACCTCAACCTACCCCCCCCCCACCCCGCCGCCATTCTTTAACCTTACTCTCCTCCACACACTCCACCAGAGCAGTCATCAAGATCGTTCACACCCCCCCAAAAAAGATTCCTCTATTAAATCATCTTCCTCAACCATTCACATTATCCAAACTCTTCCCAGTCCCGAAGTACTTCGCTCCAGGACCCCACCCCACTCACCGCCCCCCGCCCCGACTCTCTCCATCCACGACCGAATCACTCTCCAACCACCTTCCAAACCATCTCTCCCAGTGGTCTCCCAACCCCCACGATTCCAAATCCCCCCCCCCCGGAACAAACCTCACCGTCCTATTACTGCCACCCCTACCCCACCCCACGCCACCCCACCCCCACCAGGTCTGCCTTTTCTCTCTCTTCCCGCTACTTTCTGGGTGCCAGTTCCCCTCCTCTCCCCCCCCCCCAAGCCTCCCGAACTAGATCCCTTCCCGCACATACCTCGAGGATCCGGCCCGCGCCGCCCCTTCTGCGTCCTCCGCCCGCGCTCGGCCACCCTTTCCGCTCTTCTCCCGCTCCGCCCCGCTCGCTCCCTTCCTTCCCTCCGCCTTCCGCCTCCCACACCCCGCCGCCCCTCCCCGATTTCCCGGTCCTCCCACGGTGGGGGGGCTGTGGCTCCCCCCGACACACTCACCTCTGCGCGGCACGGCGCGCCCCTCCCCCTCCCGCCCCTCCCCCGCCCCTCGGGCTCGCCATTCTTCTCCCGGAGCCTCGCGCCCCGCCCGGCCCCAGCTTCCTAGCTCCCCACCCCGCTCCCTCGCGCCTTCGCCCCCCGACATTCCCGACTCGAGCCTCGTTCCCCGAAGCCTCCCGTTCCCCCCTCCCGCGGCCTAACCTGCAATGGCGGCCGCCGAGCGCGGCGCCGCGCGGCCAACGGGCGACAACCGAACCTCCCGCCGCCGTCGCCGCCGCCGCGAGCACTGCCTGCGCACTTCCGGCCTCGCGCCGCGAGCACTTCCGGGGCAGAGCTTGAGCGAGCGAACGCTAGCGCGCGCGCGCGCGCGCACGTGGGGCCGGGGCGGAGAGAAGCGAGGTCCCGGGGCTGACGGACGCGGGGCCGGCGGTGAGTTGGGGAAAGGACGTGGAAAGTCGCTGTGAGAAGCGAGTGTGATGGGGCGCGGCCGGGCCAAGGTCCGAACCCCGAGACCGAGTGTTCCGCGGGAGAGGGAAGGGGTGGCCGAGACCTCACGCGCTCTGTAGTGCTCGCGGGGCCGGGGCGGGCGCGCCTGCTCTCCCGAGGGGTCCTAACTTTGAAGGCGGCCGCGGGCGGAGCCAGCCCCCTCCGGTCTCGACCCGCGTCCGAGTTGCCTCGTAGGTTCTAGACCCGGTTCTAGATCAACTCCTGTGGCTCCCTGTTTGAAGAGCCCCGGCCATCCCTTACCCCCTCAGCCCCCCGCCACTGCCTCAGGTCGAGTGTGTACTTTGCACACGTTAGCGTTCAGTAGAGTCAGGGAGAGTTGCTTACTAACATGCAGATTTGGGTTTATTTGTACGGGTCCTGGGGCTGGAATTCAGGAACTGGGCGCTCTCCCTTCGTTTTTCGTTTTTTGTTTTTTTTTTTTCTCTCTCTGGACTGACATTTTATCACTGGAGCCGAGGTTCAATTCCGGCTTTTTTGCTGGTTGATTGGAGAAAAGAGGCTCTTGGACTTTTCTGCCTCGAACGGGTTTCAAACCGTGATCTTAGCCTCCTTAGTAGTTAGGATTACAGGTGTGAGCCACAGGTACACAGCGAGAATGCAGATTTTAAAATAACTTCTGATCTAAGAGGCTGGAATCCTGGAGCTATAGAGTGAGGTTTGGTGGTAGTGGTGATGGGGTGCTTTGTTGTTTCTGAAGTATCCTTATGCAAGATGTCTTAATGTTCCTGGAGATCGGTAGATTCTTGTGTGGGGCATGAAAGCATCACCAATTAGATAATTAAGAATTAGAATGTTCTATCCAGAACATTGATGATAATAAACTGATTACCTGTGATGCAGTCCAGTTCTCCTTTAACAACAATTCTTTTTGTCCCCTCTAGGAATGGGTGAATTTAAGGTCCATCGAGTTCGTTTCTTTAATTATGTTCCACCTGGGATCCGCTGTGTAGCTTACAATAACAAATCAAACAGATTGGCTGTTTCACGAACAGATGGCACTGTGGAAATTTATAACTTGTCAGCAAACTACTTTCAGGAGAAAGTAAGTCGTTTAGGAGCCTGATTTGGTGATTCTAATGTTAACTTTCTTAAATTCAAGTTTGTGACAATTTGTACATCTATTAGAAAAGATCAGCAGGGGAACTTCCCTAGCAAATATGAGATCTCTGGTCTGACAGAGCAACTCAGAATTTTGATCTGTGTAATGTTTCTTAGAAAGATCCTATCTAGGAATTGTAGCACTTTTATTACTTGTTCTTTGGAAATTGAGGGTTAATAGATCTTTTGCCATCTACAAAAATGGAAATTGTTGAGAACATTGTAACTTTAGTAACATGAGCCTTGGGTCCCCAATAGTGACATGTCTCTTAATAATACCTTTTAAGAAATACATTGTTGGTTTTATATTTTGGTATTCAGAGGTGTATTTGACAAACCTCAATAGTATATAGCCTTGCTTCTAGGCTAGGGTCCTGTTAAAGTCCTGCAGTTTGCAGGACTGGAAGCTGCCCTGCATCAATGAGCAAGTGGTGAGTGAATGTAAAGGCCTATGACATTACATTGTATGTTGTAAACTTACACTAATGTTATATGTTGTAGACTTTATAAACATCTGTATACATGGGCTAAACTATTATTTGTATTTGTGCCAATCCTAGGACTTGAACCCAGGGCCTGAGCACTGTCCTTGAGCTTTTTTGCTCAAGACTACTGCTTGGGCTAGGAAGTTGCCTCAATGGTAGAGTGCTTGCCTCACATACATGAGGCCCTGAGTTCGATTTTTCAGCAGTACATAAGCAGAAAAAATCCAGAAGTGGTACTGTGGCTCAAGTGGTAGGGCACTAGCCTTGAGCTGAAGAGCTGAGGGACAGCACCCAGGCCCAGAATTCAGCCCCCAAGACCATCACCAAAAAAAAAAAAAAAAAAAAAAAAAAGGACTAGCACTCTACCACTTGAGCTACCACGTCTGGCTTTATTTGGTGGTTAATTAGAGATAAGAGTCTAAGGGACTTTCCTGCATTGTTGGGCTACAAACCACAATCCTCAGTTCTCAGCCTAGTATATGGTTGGGATTATAGTTTTGAGCCAGTGGCACCCTGTGTTTGTCAGTTTTAGGGCTTGAACTCAGGGCCTGGGTGCTGTCTCTGAGCTGTTTTTACTCAAGGCTAGAGCTCTACCTCTTTGAGCCACAACCCCACTTGCAGTTTTTGAGTGGTTAATTGAAGATAAGTCTTGTGGGTATTTTTCTGCCCTGCCTGACTTTGAACTGCAATTCTCAAATCTCAGCCTCCAGAGTAGCTAGGATTACAGGTGTGAGCCACTGGAGCCCAACTTTACACTAAATTTATTAAACACTTTTTTTTTTTTTTTTTTTGGTTGGTGGTAGTGCTTGAACTCTGGGCCTGGGTGCTGTCCCTCAGCTCTTCAGCTCAAGGATACCACTTGAGCCACAGCATCACTTCCAGTTTTCTGGTGATTAATTGGAGGTAAGAGTATATCACAGAGTTTCCTGCCTGGGCTGGCTTTGAACCAAGATCCTTTGATCTCAGCCTCCTGAGTAGCTAGGATTACAGGAGTGAGCCACCGGCGCCCAGCTTAAACACTTTTCTTCCCTAATGAATTTACTTTCATAGTATACTTTATAAACTTTAAATTTTTCTTTTAACGTTTGACTTTCAGAATAATATGTATCTTAAAACACAAACACACAGTTCAACTATAAAAGTATTTTATGTCTTTATACTATTTTATTTTTATTTTTCAAACTTTTTTCATTGAAAACAGATACCCACTGTGTAGCTTAGTTGTGACTGCCTGGTTATATTAAAATTCCATGAGACCCTGGGTTTGATTCTTCAGCACCACATAAGCGGAAAAAGCTGGAAGTGGTGCTGTGGTTCAAGCTGTAGAGCGCCAGCCTTGAACTGAAGAGCTGAGGGGTAGTGCCCAGGCCCAGAGTTCAGCCCCCATGACTGACAAAAAAATAATAATAATAATAAATAAAATTCTAAAATGGACTTTTGGAAAGATATGTGTGTATATTATATGAGGTGAACCTCACCCAATCAAGATACTCAGGCTGGGCACTGGTGGCTCATGCCTGTAATCCTAGCTACTCAGGAGGCTGAGATCTGAGGATCGTGGGTGGTTCAAAGCCAGCCTAGGCAGGAAAGTCCCTGAGACTCTTCTCTCCATTAACCATCAGAAAACCAGAAGTGGCACTAGCCTTGAGCTGTCAAGGCCCAGAGTTCAAGCCCCATGACCAACCAAAAAAAAAGATACTCAGAACAATTTTGGTTACATTACACCAGCCTTGAATATACTTTATTCTGTTGAAAATGTTTTGTTGAACTAGTAATACTTTTAACAGCAACAAGAAAACTTAACTGCAGTAATTTTAAATAGCTAAAATTTGAACTCAGAAATGAAAATGTCTAATGTGATCTTTCTGATAGCACAGACTCAGACACGAGTTTATTTATAGGGAAGTAATGTTCACTTTGGTGCCTGTGACCAAGCGGTGGGGATGATGAATTCTTGGAAGGTTGAGAAGTTCTGTCTTTTCTTTAGTTTTTCCCAGGTCATGAGTCTCGGGCTACAGAAGCTCTGTGTTGGGCAGGAGGACAGCGACTCTTTAGTGCTGGACTCAATGGAGAAATTCTTGAGTATGATTTACAGGCATTAAACATCAAATATGCTGTGGATGCTTTTGGAGGACCTATTTGGAGTATGACTGCCAGCCCCAGTGGCTCTCAGCTTTTGGTAAGTATGCATTTCAGAACTAAAATTTCTCTTGTGCACAACTTCCTTCTCATGTTTCTAAGGAGAATGAAGTATAATTAACAACTCTAATCTTGACTGGTTCCCAGGAAACCACGAAGGTACTAAGGTTTAAAAATCACTTATTCATTGGGCTGGGAAAGGTGGCTCAGTGGTAGAGCGCTTGCCTTGCATGCATGAGGCCCTGGGTTCAATTCCTCAGTGCCACATAAGCAAAAAGAATAAAGCCGGAAGTGGCACTGTGGCTCAAAGTGGTAGAGTGCTAGCCTTGAACTGAAGAGCTGAGGGACAGCGCCCAGGCCCAGAGTTCAGGCCCCATGACCGGACCCCAAAAAAAAAAAAAGAAATCACTTTCATTTTGCTTTCTGTTTGCTACTAGTTTGGATCTTGTTTATTTATGTATGAAATGAGAGGGTTAATTCACATTAGCATTTCCCAAACCATCTTCTTTGTAACTGGAAGAGGTAGATACTTTTTTTTTTTGTCGTGACATGCTTTGTGTATTTTGTTTTAGAAATACAACATGTATCTGTGGAATAGAGTACTATTTGCACATAAAAATGGATGAAGTACTAATACATGCTATTGCATGGCTGAATCTTGACGACATCATGCTAAGTGAAGGAAACCAGAAATGCTACATATTCTGTATCAAGTGTTCAGAAAAAGCAAATCCACAGCTGGGCGCTGGTGGCTCATGCCTGTAATCCTAGCTACTCAGGAGGCTGAGATCTGAGGTTCAAAACCAGCCCAGGCAGGAAACTGTGATACTCATCTCCAATAAACCACTCAGAAACCCGAAGTGGCGTAGTGACTCAAGTGGCAGAGCACAAGTCTTGAGCTGAAGAGCTCAGAGACAGTGCCTAGGGCCAGAGTTCAAACCCCACGACCAACAAAAAAGAAATACAACATATTAAATCCTTTTGTAGGTAGCCTGTGTTCATAAGTCTGTTGCAGATTCTGAGAAGTGCTTCAGCAAATTAACCTGTGCAACTGTTTCAACAGTTTCTCAATAAAAGGTTTTTTTTTGGGGGGGGGTCTGGTTGTGGGGCCTGAACTCTGGGCCTGGGTGCTGTCTCTCAGCTCTTCAGCTCAAGTCTAGCGTTCTACCACTTGAGCCACAGCGCCACTTCTGGCTTTTTTCTTTTTGCTTATGTGGGGCTGAGGAATCGAACCCAGGGCCTCAGGCATGCAAAGCAAGCGCTCTATCACTGAGCCACCTTCCCAGCCCCTCAATAAAAGTTTTTTTATACATAAACTTTTTCCTCTGTAATTGCTATCAGAAATAGATACTTTCAGGTATTTGATTTTTGTCCTAATTCCTGTGTTACTTTAAAATGTTTTCCATTTAGGTTGTTAAGGTTAGTATGTCTTTTATTAGCTCATGAGTATCTAACAGAAATATACTTGAAGTCCTACCTCTGTTCTGTCATGTGCTAGAATTGGGTCACTGATTAGAACTCCTAATATCAGCCTGCTTTCTAGCCAGGATATGAATTCTGCCAGCAGTACACTTAAGTTTCTCAGTAGTAATACTTTGTTATTGTTATTCTTGTTTCTTTTAGGGCAAGTGATAGCTTTAAACAAGATGTGGGTATGTATGGTTATATATTTAAACTTAAAATGTTTATCTTCTCGTTATTATCTCTTTGTTCCTAATAGGTTGGCTGTGAAGATGGATCTGTAAAACTATTTGAAATCACACCAGACAAAATCCAATTTGAAAGAAATTTTGATCGTCAGAAAAGTAAGGGTTGTTTTTGGTGGGGGTATGAATAGCCTTAACAAGAAGTTAAGTTTTGGGCTGGGAATGTGTCTTAGTGGTAGAGTGCTTGCCTAGCATTCATGAAGCCCTGGGCTTGATTCCTCAGTAGTACATAAACAGAAAAGGTCAGAAGTAGCATTGTGTCTCAAGTGGTGAAGCTCTAACCTTGAACATATTGAGGTTCAGGGATAGAGCCCAGGTCCTGAGTTCAAGGCCCAGAACTGACCAAAAAAAAAAAAAAGTTTCTGTGTCACTGGAAATGTGTTATCTTTGTGCTGATTTTACTTGAGTATAGGGAATATACTAGAAGCCATTCCATTGTGTAATGTGGTATGACTACCTAGTTAAGTATAGTATTGAAAACAAAAAATCAGCGGGGCACCGGTGGCTCATGCCTATAATCCTAGCTACTCAAGAGGCTGAGATCTGAGGATCACAGTTCAAAGCCAGCCCATGCAGGAAAGTCTTTGAAACTCTTATCTCCAATAAACCACCAGAAGACCGGAAGTGGCGCTGTAGCTCAAGTGGTAAGGTGCTAGCCTTGAGCTGAAGAGCTGAGGGACAGCACTGAGGCTCAGAGTTTAAAAGCCCCATGAAAAAAAAAAAGAAAAGAAATAATCCAAAGTAGAAAATGTTTTTTGTTGTTGTTTTTGTTTGTTTTGGCATGCCATTACTGGGGCTTGAACTCAGAACCTGGGTGCTGTCCTTTAGCCTTTTCTCTGAAGGCTGCTCTACCACTTGAGCTACAGCTCTACTTCCTACTTCTTGGTGGTTAATTGGAAATTAGAATCTCATAGGCTTTCCTGCTAGAGCTGACTTCCAATAGGGATTCTCAGTTTCAACATCCTGAGTAGCTAGAATTACAGTTGTCAGTCACCAGTGCCAACTGAACTGTGTTTCCTTTTTTTGGGGGGGGGGTGTCCAGTCGTGGGGCCTGAACTCTGGGCCTGGGCACTGTCCCTCAGCTCTTCAGCTCAAGGCTAGCGCTCTACCACTTGAGCCAGAGCGCCACTTCCGGCTTTTTTCTTTTTGCTTATGTGGTGCTGAAGAATCGAATTCAGGGCCTCATGCATGCAAGGCAAGTGCTCTACCACTGAGCCACCTTTTCAGCCCCTGAACTGTGTTCTTATTTTGTTTTTTGGTCAGTCATGGGCTTGGGCTTGAACTCTGGGCCTATGTGCTGTCCTAGAGCTCGTCAGCTCAAGGCTAGTGCTCTACCATTTGAGCCACAGTGCCACTTCCTGAACTGTGGTTCTTAATTGAATGAGGGCATTTTACAAACAGTTGTCCATGCTTGGACTCTGCTGGACTGACTTGGCACTGACCTGTAGTGCAAGGTTTGGTACATAGTTTCTATAAAGAACTAGGTAGGGGCTGGGAAGGTAGCTCAGTAGAGTGCTTGCCCTGGGTTCTATTCTTCAGCCCATATAAATAGAAAAAGTCAGAAGTGGCACTGTAGCTCAAGTGGTAGAGTGGTAGCCTTGAGCTGAAGAGCTGAGGGACAGCGCCCAGGCCCAGAGTTCAAGCCCCACAACCGACCAAAAAAAAAGAACTAGGCAGTAAATATTAGGCTGTGCGGGCCATATAGTCTCTGCTGACTGTGGATGTAGTATAAAAGCAGCCATAAATAATATATAAATGAATAAGATGGCTGCCCTGTGGTGGAGCTGTTTACAACAAAACCAGCAGTGTGTGTCATTTCCTGATGCATCTGCTTTCTGTGTTCTTTATCCCCTACTAATCAGACTTTCCTTTTGTTACTATCTTTTGGATATTAATTGTAGCAGCAGTTCTTAAGTATTTTGAAACTAACGTCTAGTCAGCTTTTTTTTTCACTTGAAATGTTTCAGGTACTTTTCTATATCAGTGATGCTAGTGGTATCTGTGTGGCATTCCATTTTATAGTGTTTCATAATTTAAACTATTTATGGATATGATTATTACTTTACTATTGACAACTATAACAAACTCAGCAAAGCATTTGCAAGAGCTGTGTTTGATTCTGTGCACTTCCAGAAAGGAAAATTAGTCATATGTTGCATAACAATGGGGATATGTACAAGAGAAATGTGTGTTTATGTAATTTTGTTGTGTGAACAATGCAGAGTGTGCTTATACAAACTAAGATGGTTATAACACCATTAGGCAGTGCAGTTTTATGGGGACCCCCTCCCCATATGCGGACCATTATTGATCAAAATATCTTGTGGAACGTGTCTATACATATTTAGATCATGCATACAAATGTCTTTGATTTTACATTATGAGTAGTAGGCTCCTCAAATATGCACAGTGAAGTTTTATTAGGTTACTACTGTATCACTCATATGGTTATGTTTACACATTTCTATCAGTCATTTATAGTACTTTGCTGTAGGTCCAATGCAGTTTCCCATATGTAATAAAAACAGTACCTCACAGGACTGTGGTATATGAGAAAGAGCCAAGAGGTACTTGAGAGAGCTCTGTAGGTACTTGTGGAGAAGGGCTGTTACTCTTGATACATATTTATTGAATGTCACTTTCTTTTTTTTTTTTTTATTGTGAGAATACCGTACAGAGGAGTTACAATTACATGGGCAAGATAGCGAGTACATTTCTTATCAAGCATTGTTGCCTTCTCTTTGTTTCCCCTTCCCAATCACTTTCTTTTTTTGTTGTACAAATCCAAGGTCGCATCCTGTGTCTCAGTTGGCATCCTGCTGGTACCCATGTTGCAGCTGGTTCCATAGACTACATCAGTGTGTTTGATTTCAAATCAGGTGACTATTTTTTTTTTTTTTTTTTTTTTTTCAGTTTATTTGGGAAGAGTTTTGTTTGTTAGATTCACATTTCTGGGTTTCTAAAAGCTTAACTCTGTCCTACTTTCAAAGTCCTGAGAGCTATCCTGTCACTGATATTTTAAGATGTCCATCAGGAATTCTAATTTCGTTGTTGGGTTACTATTATTAAAACTTCAGTGTGATGTAGTATTTTATTATAATACTAGAACTCACAATAAACCTCCTCTTCAGCCGGGCACCCCCAGCCCCTGTCCAGGCAGTTTTTTGAAAACTCAGTAAGAAATAATGTCTATCCAAGTACATGTTTTTGTTTTTCAGGGAGCACTGTTCGGAAGATGATTGTAGATAGGCAACACCTGGGTGTGACTAAGCCGAAGTGTATTGTGTGGGGCGTGGCCTTCTTGTCTGATGGCACTGTCATAAGTGTGGATTCAGTTGGGAAAGTACAGTTATGGGACTCTGCTACTGGGACCCTTGTCAAGAGTCACCTCATTGCGAATGCTGATGTGCAGTCCATTGCCGTTGCTGAAGTGAGTATGGTCCTGACTTTGGGCTGTTATGGAGTAACTTAGGGACATGCCATTGATTGTAAGTCAGCCATTATTTTGTCATCATGGGAAAGAAAAAGCCAAATTGTAACATACTTTTTAAAATTTGAAGTTTGGAGCTGGAGGCATGGCCCAGTAGTGGAGCACCAGCCTAGCACATGTGAGACTGGAGTTCAAACTCCAATACCACCAAAAAATAAATATTTGTTTGTTTTTGCCAGTTGTGGGGCTTGAACTCAGGGCCTAGCTCACTGAGCCTCTTTATGCTCAAAGCCAGCATTCTCCCACTTGAGCCACAGAGTCACTTGTGGCTTTTTCTGTTTATGTGGTACTAAGCAATCAAACCCAGGGCTTTTCATGCATGCTAGGCAAGCGTTCTACCACTAAGCCACATTCCCAGCCCAAAATAAAATTTTCATAAACTGACTATTTTAGTCAGGTGCCTGTTGCTCACACCTGTAATCATAGCTGCTCAAGAGGCTAAGATCTCAGGATCATAGTTCAAAGCCAGGTTGGACAGAAAAGTCTATGAGACTCTTATCTCCAATTAACCACCAGAAAATCAGAAGTGGAACTGTAGCTCAAAGTGGTAGAGTGCTAGCCTTGAGCAAAAATCAGTACAGGGACAGTGCCTAGGCCCTGAGTTCAAGCCCTATGACAACCGAAAAAAGAAAAATGTATGGAGCTAGTGCTGGAGACTTTTGCCTTATAATGCTAAATGCTAGCCACTCGGGAGGATGAGAAAGTTTGGAGTATGGCCGGGCGCTGGTGGCTCACGCCTGCAATCCTAGCTACTCAGGAGGCTGAGATCTGAGGATCGCGGTTCAAAGCCAGCCCGGGCAGGAGAGACTGTGAGACTCCTATCTCCAATAAACCACCAGAAAACCGGAAGTGGCGCTGTCGCTCAAGCGGTAGAGCGCTCGCCTTGAGCTGAAGAGCTGAGGGACAGCGCCCAGGCCCAGAGTTCAAGCCCCACGACCGACAAAAAAAAAAAGTTTGGAGTAAGCCCAAGCATACAAATCCTAAAGGCTGTTATCTCCAGTTAACCAGTAAAAAGCCAGAAATGGAGGCATGGCTCAAATATAGGTCACCAGGTATGAGAAGAAAGAAGCTGAGCAAGAGTTGTACAAGGCCCTTAGTTCAAGCCCCAGTACCAACACAGACACATGATTCTAAGATAGACTTCCTGTGTAGCTTGTCGACATGGTTTAGAAGGATTTGAGTTTTTTCACAGATTTAATATATTTTCAATTTAGCTTATTTCTAGATATATCTTTTTTATCTCTTCTGTAATGGCCTTGGTTATAATCATGTATTTCTTAATGACTGACAGTCTGAGGAGTATATCATTGGATGATTTCAGTGTTGTGTGAACATAACAGTGCTAACACAATCCTTTATTCAGTACGTTTTCTAAAGGCATACTTCATGTACATATTGTACGTGTTCTCCTTTTACAGAACTAACAATGTTGGGGCTGGGAAGGTGGCTCAGTGTTAGAGCGCTTGCCTTGCATGCGTGAGGCCCTGGGTTCGATTCCTTAGCACCACATAAGCAAAAAAGAAAAAAACCGAAGTGGCACTGTGGCTCAAGTGGTAGAGCGCTAGCCTTGAGCTGAAGAGCTGAGGGACAGCGCCCAGGTCCAGAGTACAGGCCCCACGACCGGACCCCCCCCAAAAAAAGAACAATGTTGGATTCATTATATCAGCAGCACCAGAAACTGAGTAATGCTTATTTTATATTCTATAACATTTTGACATTACTATGCAATAGGAATTTTTTTTTTTTTTTTTGGGTCCGGTCGTGGGGCCTGAACTCTGTGCCTGGGCGCTGTCCCTCAGCTCTTCATCTCAAGGCTAGTGCGCTACCACTTGAGCCACAGCACCACTTCCGGCTTTTTTTTTTTCTGCTTATGTGGTGCTGAGGAATCGAACCCAGGGCCTCATACATGCAAGGCAAGTGCTCTACCACTGAGCCACCTTCCTAGCCGCAGCAATAGGAATTTTTTCAGCTTCAGTATAATCTTTTGGAACTGTTGTCCTGTATTTGGCTGTCAGTGACTAAAACATGTACCATGTAAACCTAGCGAGGAGATAACAGTTATTAATTTTGTCAGCAGAGGGCGCATTGCTATCTAAGTATTAGCTTGTCTCCTGATTGAATTTGGTAGATACCTAAAGGAAGATGCCCTGGGAATTTACTTTCTAATTCTAGGTGTAAGTTTCCCCCTGAACTGCCTAGACAGAAAACTTTAGGGAATATTTTGGTCTAGATCTTAGTTTGTTCATATGTATTCCCCTCATTTAATTTCTCAGCAAGAAGACAGTTTCGTGGTGGGCACAGCCGAGGGCACAATATTCCATTTTCAACTGGTCTCTGTGACTTCCAACAGCAGTGAGAAGCAATGGGTGCGGACCAAACCATTCCAGCACCACACTCACGACGTACGCACCGTGGCCCACAGCCCAACGGCCCTGATATCTGGAGGTAGTTCTTGCTTCTTGCCAGGCTGTTGGTTTACTGTACCCAGCTCTGGTTATTTTCTTTTCACTCAGGATTTCTCATTCTGATCCTCTTTTCTCCCATATCCAGGCACTGACACACACTTGGTAATTCGTCCTCTCATGGAGAAGGTAGAAGTTAAGAATTATGATGCTGCTCTCCGAAAAATCACCTTTCCCCATGTAAGTATCACCCCTTTTCTTCATCTCCTTCATCTCCCATCTCCCTATCCCATAGATTGATTCCAAACATAGCTTATACTTCCTGGGGAAATCCAAGGGGGTTTCTGAGTTATTTTCACTCTGTGAGGTAGGCCTCTTACAAAGGCATTTCGGGGGAACAAAATATGATATATTTGTAACATCATAGCAGTTTACTTTCTGGAGAAATCATTTTCTTTTTCAAATAATAGTGATTTGTGGTCATTTTCTTAGTTTTTTTGTTTTGTTTTGTTTTGCTGTGTGTGTTGATCCTGGGGCTTAAACTCAGGGCCGGGGTGCTGTCCCTAAACTCTGTTGCTCAAGACTAGTACTCTAGCACTTTGAGCCACAGCATCACTTTCGGTTTTCTGGTTGTTACTAGAGATGAGAGTCTCCCAAATTTTCCTACCAGGCCTGGCTTTGAAGCATGATCTCAGTCTCCTGAGTAGCTAGGATTACAGATGTGAGCCACCAGTGCCCAGCTTCCCTGAGCTTTTTTGCTCAGGGCTAGCACTGTACCACTCCATTTGCTGCAAACGCATGCGCGCGCGTGCATGCGTGTGTGTGTGTGTGTGTGTGTGTGTGTGTTTAATTGGAGATAGAATCTGATGGCCTTTCTTGCCTGGGTTGCCTTTAAACCAGGATCCTCAGACCTTAGCTTCCTAAGTAGCTAGAATAATTGTGAGCCACTAGGACCTGTCTGTTTGTTTTTAAGGATTGACTTTATATTCAGGTTAGAAGTAGAAAAATCCAGGCTTCCAGTGTTCCTTTCTAGATAGATGGTGCCATCTCTACAAGGGAATGGCCCTTTCCCTTCCAAGCTGGCTTCCAGATTCCATTTGCTGGTAACTTTACCAAGTCTACTTCATCCAAATAGGTATTTTATATAGATTGGTATATATTTTATATGTGAATGTGTGTGTGTGCGCGCATGCGTGCACATTTATTGAGGTATGTTTGATATACAGAAACCACCCATATGTAATGTATAGGCAGTCTTCATTAGCTCTTTCTGAGCTCTCTGTTTTCCTTTTTCCTTTGGAGTGTAGAGTAAGGGTATTAAACTTAGGATCTTGGGCTTGCTAGGCTTACCATCTCTAGATGTGGCCACTCACCTGGTTTGGATCACAGTTTCCTCATCTAAATTTCTCTACAGTAACTTCCATAATGATCTTCTTTTGTTTTCATTTGTGTTCTCATCTGTTTAAATAAACAGCTTTTTATTGGTCCCTGTTTAAAAGCCCTTGCTTGTCCCTGTTGCTGGCAGCTTAGAGACATAATTCCTTAGCATGGTATAGGAAACCTATCTTAATTATAGACATCCTTCAGCTTTTCTTTTACTCTCTATTTCACACTTGTCCTCCCCTACTCCCTGCCAGTCTCACCATTTTGTAAGTCTGATGTTATTTTACTTTTGAGTTGTTTTTAGATACCATTGCCTTCCTTTCTTTTTTTTTTTGATTTGTCATGGGGTTTGAATTCAGGGCCTGAGTACTGTCCCTGAGCTCCTTTTGCTCAAGGCTAGCTTTTACCACTTTGAGCCACAGTGCAACTTCCAGTTTTCTGATGGTTAATTGGAGATAAGTCTCTCAGACTTGTCTGCCCAGGCTGGATTTAAACCATGATCCTCAGATTTCAGCCTCCTGAGGAGCTAAGATTATAGGCATGAGTCACCAGCACCCAGCCCCTGTGGTAGTTCTTAGGATATATTTATCAAATGAATTAGTTCAACAATAGAAAGTATACTAAGTTATTGCTGCTGTAGCTAATACTGAGGCTGTCTATAACTTTTCAATTCTTGGATACAGCGACGTCTCATTTCCTGTTCTAAAAAGAGACAGCTTCTCCTCTTCCAATTTGCTCATCATTTGGAACTTTGGCGACTAGGATCTACCGTTGCAACAGGTAAAACTGGAGAAAAGTTTCTCAATTAGAAAATGGGAAAGGTCTGTGGGTACAAGCTTAAAAATAGAGTGTCTGTTTACCATGCACCAGTGCCCAGGTTTAGATCCCCGTGGCACTGGAAGAAAGAAAAATAAATAAAAATAACATAAACTTGCTGGACACCAGTGGCTCATGCATGTAATCCTAACTACTCAGGAGGCTGAGATCTGAGGTTCGAGGTTCAAAGCCAATCTGGGCAGGAACATCCATTAGACTCTATAATCTTCAATAAACCAGCAGAAAACCAGAAGTGGCGCTGTGGCTCAAATGATAGAATGCTCACATTGAGCTGAAGAGCTGAGGGACAGTGCCCAGGCCCAGATTTCAAGCCCCATGACCAACAAAATAAATAAAAAATAACATACACTTACATTCATACATATGAAAATGAAGGTTGGAGAAAGGATGCCACAATTTAGTATTTCAGTTGAGTTTCTGCTTAGGGAAAAAAAAATAAGTTTTTCTTTACTTAAGGTTTTCCCATTCATAAGAAAAAGAGAAAGCAAACAAAGCCAGGTGCTAATGGCTCATACCTGTAATCCTAGCTCTCAGAAGCCTGAGATCTGGCCGGGCACCGGTGGCTCACGCCTGTAATCCTAGCTACTCAGGAGGCTGAGATCTGAGAATCGCGGTTCAAAGCTAGCCCGGGCAGGAAAGACCGTGAGACTCCTATCTCCAATAAACCACTAGAAAACCGGAAGTGGCGCTGTAGCTCAAGTGGTAGAGCGCTCGCCTTGAGCTGAAGAGCTGAGGGACAGCGCCCAAGCCCAGAGTTCAAGCCCCATGACCAACAAAAAAAAAAAAGCCTGAGATCTGAGGGTCATGGTTCAAAGCCAGCTGGGCAGGAAAGTCTTATATCCAATTAAGCACAAAAAAAGACAGAAGTAGTGCTTGGAATACAGCTTAGTGGTAGAGTGCTTGCCTAGCATGTTTGAAGCGCCCTAGGTTTGATTCCTCAGTACCACATAAACAGAAAAAGGCCAGAATTGGCACTGCGGCTCAAGTGGTAGAGTACGCACCTTGAGCTAAAGGGCTCAGAGACAGTTCCCAGGCCCAGAGTTCAAGCCCCACCAACCCCCCACACACACACACACACACACAGCAGGTTAAAGGGATCATGTCTTTAAAAGTAAGTTAAGTTTAAAAAGTAGATATATTTTATAGTAAGCTTCTATAAGGCATACTATAGGATGTAGTTGAAGGAAGCGTCATGAAAATCAGGTTGTCCTAGTTATGTGAAATGTAAGAAGACTGTTGAAAAATGACAAGATGATGAATAGTGATGTCCTACAGAAAAACAAAATGTCACATGGGTTTCTACAGTAACAACCTAGCAGTCTTGTGTGGGCTGACTTGTTAGATAAGTGCTTGAGTCTTCTCTTTTAGAATGGATTGAAATTAAGACCATAGAAACACCATTTTGCATGCCTTTCTGGGGTTGTAGCTTCAAACAACTGATGGTGTCTTAGAACTACTCACTTCCTTATTCATATAATATACTACCCCACAGAAATGGTATGTCCACTAAGTCAAGACATTTTTTATTTTTTTTTCAGTGATAGTGATTCAGTCATACTGATAGGTGACTTTTAGAAGAAAAAATGTATCATCTTCTGTTTTGGGGGTGGGACAAAAACTCAGGGAAGTTTCTTTTTTCAGGCAAGAATGGAGATACCCTTCCACTTTCCAAAAATGCAGATCATTTATTGCACCTCAAGACAAAGGTAAGAGGCTCACTATGCATTGAGGTCTGAGATCCAGAATGTTTCTCCCATTATGAATTTAGTGATTTAGTTCACAAGTAAAACTCTATATCCTAAACTATTTCACTGAAGGACTGGCCACCTTTTTATTTGAGATTTTGATGAAGTTATATGTGTTGAAAACAAAAGCGACATCTTTTTTTCTTTTCCTTTTTTTCTCTTTTTGCCAGTCCTGGAGCTTGAATTCAGGGTCTGAGCACTGTCTCTGAACAACTTTTACCCAAGGCTAGCACTGTACCACTTGAGCCACAGTGCCAGTTTTCAGTCTTTTCTGTTTATGTGATACTGAGGAATCAAACCTGGACTTCATGCATAGTAGCCATGCACTCTACCACTAAGCCACCTTCCCAGCCCCAAAGTGACATCTTTTTAAAGCTTGTCCATATATGTAGATGTCTTGCTGGGAGCCTGTGGCTCATGTCTGTAATCCTAGCTACTCAGGAGGCTGACATCAGAGGATTGTGGTTTCAAGCCAGCCCTGGCAGAAAATTCTCCATGAAGGCTTGGAAGGTGGCTCAGTGGTAGAGCGCTTGCCTTGCATGCCTGAGACCCTGGGTTCTATTCCCCAGCACCACATAAGCAAAAAGAAAAAAAGCTGGAAGTGGCGCTGTGGCTCAAGTGGCGCTAGCCTTGAGCTGAAGAGCTGAGGGACAGCGCCTAGGCCCCAGAGTTCAGGCCCCACAACCGGACCCAAAAAAAAAAAAAAAAGAACAGTCTCTATGAGACTCTCTTTATCGCCAATAAACTACTCAAAACAGGAAGTGGCACTATGTAGCTCAAGTGGTAGCGTGCTAGCCTTGAGCATAATGAGGCTCAAGGACAGCACCCAAGCCTTGAGTTCAAGCCGCACAACTGACCAAAAAAAAAAAAAAAAAAGATGTCTTTTATAGTGGAAAAACAAATGGGAACAAAAATATGTGTTTTCCTTTTCTTTTCTTTTTGGTCCGGTCATGGGGCCTGAACTCTGGGCCTTGGCGCTGTCCCTCAGCTCTTCAGCTCAAGGATAGTGCTCTACCACTTGAGCCACAGCACCACTTCCGGCTTTTTTTTTTCTTTTTGCTTATGTGGTGCTGAGGAAATGAACCCAGGGCCTCAGGCATGCAAGGCAAGCGCTCTCTACTACTGAGCCACCTTCCCAGCCCCTCCTTTGCTTTTCAAATAGTAAATTTCCTCCTGGTCCTCTCCCTTATTCTGGAAAGCCTTCCTGGAGACCTCACTCCCAGCTAAATGAATTTTTGGCTTCTTTAAATAATTTAACAGGGCTAGGAATGTGGCTCAGTGGTAGAGTGCTCACCTAGCATGCATGATGAAGCCCTGGGTTTGATTCCTTTACCACATAAACAGAAAAGCCTGGAAGTGGCACTGTGGCTCAAATGGTAGAGTACTAGCCTTGAGCAAAAGAAGCTCAGGGACAGTGCCCAGGTCCTGAGTGCAAGCCCCAGGACTGGCAAAAAAAAGTAATAATAATAACTTAACAAAATTATTCTTGAGAAAGCTAGAATTTTTATAACTTCCTGCTGATTTTTGTGGGGTTCTTTTTTTTTTTTTTTTGGTCAGTCATGGGGCTTGAACTCTGGGCTTGGGCGCTGTCCCTGCACTCTTCAGCTCAAGGCTAGCACTCTACCGCTTGAGCCACAGCGCCACTTCGGGTTTTCTAGTGGTTTATTGGAGATAAGAGTCTCACAGACTTTTCTGCCTAGGCTGGCTTTGAACTGCGATCCTCAGATCTCAGCCTCCATTTTACAGGTGTGAGCCACCGGCGCACGTCTATGGGTTTTTTGTTTTTTTTTTTAAATTTCAATCCTGTAGTTGTTTTTTTTGTTTTGTTTTGTTTTTATCTATTAGAGGTTATTGAAGTATGTTATCACAGGCAAAACAAAATGAGCACTATGAATTACCAGCCCTCCTAAGCTTTGTGAACTTAGCGCCTACCTGCTCAGTTTTCCCAAGTTGGGATTTAATATGAAGCTATCAGAATCACCTGAAAGGCAAAGCACACAGTATCTTTAGACTTTTGTATTTGGAAATCAACATCACTGAATTGCTCTGCTTCTCATATAATCATAGGACATAGCCTAGGTATTTGTGGAAATATTCAGAGCAGTAAGAATATGGAGATTCATGTCATGGTGAATGTGTCATAAGATATTTTCCACTAACATTTATTTTGCTTCCTCCTATTGTCAGGGCCCTGAGAACATTATTTGCAGTTGCATCTCTCCGTGTGGAGGTTGGATAGCCTATTCAACGGTATCTCGTTTTTTCCTCTATCGGTTGAAATATGAACGTGACAACATAAGCCTCCAAAGGGTGAGTAAGAGCCTCATGTGGTTGTACAAGAAGAATCGTGTCATTTTTGTTGGATGAAAATCCCTTTTTTTTTTTTTTGGTCATTCGTGGTACTTGAACTCTGGGCTTGGTCTCTGTGAGACCGTGCGCTCTTCAGCTCAAGGCGAGCGCTCTACCCCTTGAGGCACAGCACCACTTCCAGTTTTCTGGTGGTTAATTGGAGATAAGAGTCTCACGGACTTTCCTGCCCAGGCTGGCTTTGAAACCACCATCCTCAGATCTCAGCCTCCTGAGTAGCTAGGATTACAGGTGTGAGCCACCAGCGCCCAGCTTTGGAGACAGTTTCTTATGCAAGAGTCTGAATTCAGTCTCTAGCACATTTAAAAAGGGAGGAGATAATTTCTAGCATCATAGCTAAATTTTATTTTATTTTTAAATTTTGTATTGATTGCTTTGGGAGGGATAGAGAAATGCCAGAAGTAACAGTAAAGCTTACGCTTTTCTGCCATATGGTTTCATGTGTAATTTAGTTAATTCCGTAGTAGGGAATTGAAGTTGGACTGTCAAGGCATGTAGGTAACAGGAGGCATGTCATTTGGTCAGTTTGCTGGCTTCGTATTACTGTAATTTAACTCTGTTTTTGTTTGTTTGTTTGTTTTTGGGTCCAGTCATGGGGCCTGAACTCTGGGCTGGGCGCTGTCCCTCAGCTCTTCAGCTCAAGGCTAGGGCTCTACCACTTGAGCCACAGCGCCACTTCCGGCTTTTTTCTTTTTGCTTATATGGTGCTGAGGAATCGAACCTAGGGCCTCATGCATGCAAGGCAAGCGCTCTACCACTGAGCCACCTTCCCGGCCCCTAACTCTGTTTTTGTTGAGCTATAATGTCTACTTTCTTACTTACTAGCTTTCCCTGTTGGTTTACCCCAAGGTTTCAAAAATGCCAGCATTCCTTAGATCTGCCCTTCAGATTTTGTTTTCTGAAGATTCAACAAAGCTCTTTGTGGCATCAAATCAAGGATCTCTGCATGTCATTCAACTGATGGAAGCAAGCTTTAAGCACCTGCATAGTTTCCAGCCTCAATCAGGTGGGAGTTTGTAACTGGCCTCAGGGGAGATTTTTTTTTTTCTTTTTGACCTAAGTGTTGGGGTTCTTTTTTTTTTTTTTTTGGTCGGTCATGGGGCTTGAACTCTGGGCTTGGGCGCTATCCCTCAGCTCTTCAGTTCAAGGAGAGCGCTCTACTGCTTGAGCCACAGCGCCACTTCCAGTTTTCTAGTGCTTTATTGGAGATAAGAGTCTCACGGACTTTCCCCGCCAGGGCTGGCTTTAAACCTTAATCCTCAGATTTCAGCCTCCTGAGTAGCTAGGTTTACAGGCATGAGCCATTGGCGCCCGGGTGTTGGGGGTTCTTATAGTCTTCTCAACCCTGCATAAACTCACTCATATGGTTGCAGTTTAAAGTAGGAGGATATAATCTGGCAGATGAAGACACTCAATGAAATCTGAAATATTCCTCACACCTACTATTTTCTCACTAGGTTTCAATTTCCTTGTTTGGGGCCAGAGAAGTTTTATCATCCATCCAAGAGTTTTGTTAGTAAGAAGAAAGTTAAAATCATCTGTTATCCTGACACCCAAAAATAACTATCCTTAACATTTTAGGGGTTTTTTTTGTTTTGTTTTGTTTTGTTTTTGTTTTTTTTTGTGGATCATGGGGTTTGAATTCTGAGCCTAGCAACTGTCCCTGAGCTCTTTAGCTCAAGGTGAGTGCTCTACTATTTGAGCCACCGCACCACTTTAGGTTTTCTGGTGATTAATTGGAGATAAGAATCTGAGGACTTTCCTACCTGGTTTGGCTTTGAACTTGATCCACAGATCTCACTCTCCTTAGGAGCTAGGATTATAGGCATGTGTCACTGGCACCTGGCCATTTTAGTATTTTCTTTTTTTGGGGGGAGGGGGGGGAGGTCCGGTCATGGGACCTGAACTCTGGGCCTGGGTGCTGTCCCTCAGCTCTTCAGCTCAAGGCTAGCACTCTACCACTTGAGCCACAGCGCCACTTCCAGCTTTTTTTTTTCTGCTTATGTGGTGCTGAGGAATCAAACCCAGGGCCTCATGCAGGCAAGGGAAGCACTCTAGCACTGAGCCACCTTCCCAGCCCCATTTTAGTATTTTCTAATGTGTTTTAGGACATAGAGATTTTGTGGACATGTTGTTTTTGGTTGTTTATATAAAGATGAAAAATCCTGTTCATAGTTTCATTACCTGTGTTCATGTACCTCTTGAACCTCTCAAGTGCTAGGACTACATGCCTGGCTTTCAGGATCATTTTTTTCATGTTCTTTGAGAACTTCAGTCTACATCAGTGAGTCTGACATTAACTATTACTGAGGACTTAAGACTTAGCATCCAGCTTAACTGATAGTTGGATACTTCCCTGCCCTGGCTTTTATCTATTATTTAGGCTCCACTCATCTCTCTCTCTCTCTCTCTCTCTCTCTCTCTCTCTCTCTCTCTCTCTCTCTCTCTCTCTCTCTGTGTTTATGTGTGGGCACACACGCGCACGTGCCAGTCTTGGGGCTTGAACTCAGAGCCTAGCTTCTTTTGCTCAAGGCTAGTGCTCTACCTCTTAGCCCCAGCTCCACTGCCTTTTTTTTTTTTTTTTTTAAATAGTTAATTAGAGATAGAAGTCTTACTGACTTTCCTGCCTGGACTGATGGCTTCTAACCTCAATCCTTAGATCTCAGCCTCCTGAGTAGCAAGGATTGGCGTGAGCCACCAGTTCCCAACAGATTTTTTTTTTTTAATAAAGCTTTTTCATTTTTTGAAGGTATTATAGACATATTTTAACATACTCTTTTTCTTTATTGAGATTAAGTGATTACGTGTATTTCACAAAATTCACAGTATTGAGGGCTAAGAAGGTGGTTCAGTGGTAGAGTGCTTGCCTTGCATGCATGAGGCCCTGGGTTCTATTCTTCAACACCACATAAAGCAGAAAAGGCCAGAAGTGGTGCTGTAGCTCAAGTGGTAGAGTGCTCACCTTGAGCTGAAGAACTGAGGGACAGCACCCAGGCCCAGAGTTCAGGCCCCACAACTGACCAAAAAAAGAAAAAAAATCACAGTATTGGGGGATAGTGATACTTAGTTAAAGTCACCCATTTTAACCTTCATGAGGCACATTGTCGTTATTGTGGTCTTTGAAGCTTAGGGTCTCTACAAAATTTGACACTAAAGCTATTCTTTCCAAATGGGGTAATATGGGTCCTTTTTCTTAGTGTAAGCTGATTTTAAAACATATTTTGACATAGAAAAAATGGCTGTCCAAATATTTAGCCTATGCCTTCATGTTGCCACATTAAAGTCCCTTGACGACAAAGATGGTTTATCCATGCCCCTTAGTGCTAAATAGGCAGCAGTAAATTGTGCTTCAGATGTGTTGAACTTACTGTGTGTCAATAACTTTGATTTTAAAATATCTAAAAGAAAAAGGAGTTTGAAACAATTTATAGTTTTTGTTTTGTATTGTTTTGTTTTGTCGGTCATGAGGCCTGAACTCTGGGCCTGAGCACTGACCCTCAGCTCTTCACCTCAAGGCTAGCACTCAATCACTTGAGCCACCGCTCCACTTGCTGATTTTTCTGCTCATGTAGTCCTGAGGACTCGAACCCAGGGCCTCATGCATCCACTCTACTACTGAGCCATCTTCCCAGCCCCTAATTTATAGATTTTAGTGACACATATATTCTTGTTACCATACAGAAGAATCCAAAATGTCTTCCTCAGGCCTCAACCAGTGATGTCCTTGGTTTTATCTCTCTGGCTTCCCTTTACATGAGGAGTGGTTAAGTAAGTTTTAAAACTAGTCAGGTTAACTTTTTTTGTTTTCTAAATTTACTGTTATTTTAGAGGTGATATACAGAAGGGTTACATTTACATGCATCAGGGAATAAGTACATTTCTTTTTGTACAGTGTCATCTGTTCCCTCACTCTTTCCCATTCCCTTCCTTCCATCTCCACTCTCCAGTTGTAGTCGAGTTCACTCCACTACTGTACTTTTTCACCCTTTTTCCTTGGATTCTGTGTCTTTACCCCCACCCCCACGGATATGCATATAAATGCACTGTGTATAACATAAAGAATATAGAATCATCAGAAAAAGAAAAAACAAATTTAAAAAGTCTGGTTTTCATATCTTTGGAGCTTGTTTTAGTGTGTATATTATATGAAATATAAGGAAGCGCTTAGGCATTGCACCTTTGTGATTCTCTCCTATGACTATCCTGTTTTGATCTCACTGTGTGTGAGTATCTAGAATCCTGTGTAGTTTGTCATATCCCAGTGCAATTTAGATCTAACTTGTGCATGTTAGAGAGAATATGCACCATTTGTCTCTGATGTTGGATAACCTCACTCCGCATGATTTTTTCTAGTCCCATCCATTTCCCTGAAAATGACATTTTTTTATTCTTTCTAATGGCTATATAAAATTTCACTGTATATAGGTATAACTTTCTCTGATCTACTCATCTATTGTGGGGCATCTGGGCTGTTTCCATATATTGGTTATTGTGAATAGTGTGGCAATGTTCATGGGTGTGCAGGTGTCTTTATCATATCCTGGTTCATAATGCTCAGAGTAGATGCCTAGTAGTGGTATAGCTGGGTCACAGGAAGGTCTACCTCCAGACTATTTTCCAGCGTGATTGTACTAGTTTATATTCCTACCAACCACACAGTAGGGTTCCTTTTTCCCCAAATCCCCACCAGCATTTGTTTGAATTCAAAATGTTGGCCAATCTAACTGGGATAAGATGGAATCTCAGAGTTGTTTGGTTTGCATTTCCTTTATGTCCAGGGAAAATCAGCATTTCCTCATGTGTTTCTTTGCCATTCTTAGCTCTTCTGAGAAGATTCTCCTTTCTCTTTTGCCTGTCTAGTGATTAGTGTATTAAGTTTGGGAGGGGTTAGTTTCTTGAGCTCCTTATATATGTTGGATATTAGGCCTTTGTCTGATATATTGCTGGTAAAGATCTTTTGCCAATTAGTTGGCTATCTTTTTAGTAGCTATAGCCTGTGCTGTGTGGAAACTTTATTTTATGTAGTTCCACTTGTTGAGTCTCTCTCCTATCTCTTGTGCCCCTGGGACTATCAAGAAGTTCCTGCCTATACCTATAAGTTCTAGTGTTTCTCCTACTCTTTCTTGCAGTAGTTTCAGAGTTTTGAGTCTGATGTTGAGGACTTTGATCCACTTTGAATTAATGTTAGTGTATAGTGGCAAGCAGGGGTCCATTTTTAGTTTTCCTCATATGCCCCATTTTCCCAACATCAGCTGTTAAAGAGTCTTATGTTATTTCCACTGTATGTCTTTGGCTCTTTTGTCAAATATCAGATGACTTTGTATGTGATTTTATTTGTGGGTTTTCTAATCTGCTCCATTGATCTTTGAGTCTGTTTTTGTGCCAATACCAAGCTGTTTCTGTTATTACGGCTCTAGTCAGGTTAACTTTTTTGGGGGGGGGGGAGTCCATTTGTGGGCCTGAATAGTGGGCCTGGGCACTGTCCCTCAGCTCTTCAGCTCAAGGCTAGCATTCTACCACTTGAGCCACAATGCCACTTCCGGCTTTTTTTTCTGCCTATGTGGTGCTGAGGAATCGAACCCAGGGCCTCATGCTTGCAAGGCAAGCGCTCTACCACTGAGCCACCTTCCCAGCCCCTAGTCAGGTTAACTTTTTAAACTAATTTGCTTTTTTTTTTTTTCTGTCCATGGGGCTTGACCTTAGCACTGTCTTTGAGCTCTTTTTTTTTTGTCAGTCATAGGGCTTGAACTCTGGGCCTGGGCGCTGTCCCTGTGCTCTTCAGTTCAAGGCAAGAGCTCTACTGCTTGAGCCACAGCGCCACTTCCGGTTTTCTAGTGGTTTATTGGAGATAAGAGTCTCACAGATGTTCCTGCCAAAGCTGGCTTTGAACCACGATCCTCAGATCTCAGCCTCCTGAGTAGCTAGGATTACAGGCATGAGCCACCAGTGCCAAGCTCTTTGAGCTCTTTTGCTCAAGACTAGTGCTGTACCACTTTGAGCCACAGCACTACTTCCTGTTTTCTGGTGGTTAATTGGAGATAAGAGTCTCCATAGACTTTTCCTGCTCGAGCTGGCTTTGAACCTCAATCCTCAGATCTCAGTCTCCTGAATAGCTAGGATTATAGGCATGAGCCACCAGTGCCCAGCTGCAAAACTTTTAATACATTATTGCTTTAATTTTTTTTTTTTTTTTTTTTTTTTTTTTTTGGGTCCGGTTGTGGGGCCTGAACTCTGGGCCTGAGCGCTGTCCCTCAGCTCTTCAGCTCAAGGCTAGCGCTCTACCACTTGAGCCACAGCGCCACTTCCGGCTTTTTTTCTTATGTGGTGCTGAGGAATCGAACCCAGGGCCTCAGGCATGCAAAGCAAGCGCTCTACCACTGAGCCAACTTCCCAGCCTGCTTTAATTATTTTAAAACGCCCATCTTCAGGTTAGGGAAGCTGTGAACATGTACTTCAGAGACTTAATTGTTCTTATGCCCTCATAGGGACTGTAGAGGCCATGTGTCTTTTGGCAGTTAGTCCAGATGGGAATTGGCTAGCTGCATCAGGTACCAGTGCTGGAGTCCACGTGTACAATCTGAAGAATCTAGAGGTGAGTGAACGATTTCGTGACAGCAGATTGAGTCATACAGGAAATTACTAGTCTTTCATTTGAAAAGTCCAAGGCAGATTATATCTGGAATGACTTGGAAATTTACTAAAACTTTTTTTTTCTTATTTTTTTTTTAAATCAGGAATGTTCTCTGCTTCAGATTACTCTTTATTTCTGTGGAACTCAGAAGTTCTACTGTATAACATTAATATTAGTCAATGGGAACAGTGCAAGTATTGATTCACAGAAATTCATGACTAAGGATTTTGTGGGTGACAAACACATATCCAGGTTATTTCTATATTTAAAACATGGAAAGTTTAGACATGACTAGATAGACATTATAACAGTTTTTCTCTCAGGGCTTGCCTTACACCTTCAAATTTTTGTACTTTTTTTTGGAGGGGGGTGGGTTGTAGGGCTTGAACTCAGGGCCTGGGTACTGTCTCTGAGCTTTTCTGCTCAAGTCTAACATTCAACCACTTTGAACCACAGTGCTACTTCCAGTTTCCTGATGGTTAATTGGAGATAGGAGTCTCATGGACTTTCCTGCCTGCCTGGCTTTGTACCATGATCTTCAAATCTCAGCCAGTGCCAGTGGCTCACACCTGTAATCCTGGCTACTCAGGCAGCTGAGATCCGAGGATCACGGTTCAAAGCCAGCCCGGACAGGAAAGTCTGAGATTCTTATTTCCAATAAACCACTAGAAAACCAGAAGTGGCGCTGTGGCTCAAGTGGTAGAGTGCTCACCTTGAGCTGAGGGATAGTGCCCACGCCCAGAGTTCAAGCCCCTGACTGACCAAAAAAACTCCGCCTCCTGAGTAGCTAGGATTATAAGCTTGAGCTACCTGGGTGCTATTGTGGGTAACATATATGAGCTGGGAATGGATTTCAACCGTAGTGCTTGCCTGGCCTGTGAAATGTCCTGGGTTCAATCCCCAACAGGAAAAAAAAGAAATTTTCTGTAGCACCCACATGCCTTACAATTGTACATAAATACCCCTAAGCATTAATTATATGTTCCTGTTCAAGTTCATATTTATAAGCAATTCATATAGGTTTATTCTAAGATAAAAGCTTTACTATTGAGTTCTCTGAAAATGCTTCCAGTTTTGTAAAGACTTAATAAAAACAAAATTAAAGTTCATTAATGATAAAATACCTGAAGTTTATGGAAATTTTCATAGAACTCTTTGAGTTCACAGGGAGAAGTGTTTAAAAAGAGTTCATCCAGGGGCTGAGGGTATAGCTCAGTACCTGCTCAAGGCTCTTGGTTCAATCATCAGCACAGAAAAGAAAATCAACTGAGCTCTACCATGTTGCTTTCATGAGGGAAAGTATCCTATAGAACTGCCACTTAACCCCTGTTTTTTATTCCTAGCTTCACTGCACAGTGCCTGCCTACAATTTTCCAGTAACTGCTCTAGCCATTGCCCCCAATACCAACAACCTTGTTATTGCTCATTCTGACCAACAGGTAAGATTGATTCCAGTGCTCTCTAATTCCCTCTTGCTAGATAATGCTAACCTGGAAGCCAAATTGGCTAGGACAGTTTGGAGGAACTTTTCTTTGAAGATGCTGAAGGATATACAAGTAGTTGTTTTCCTGTGTGAAGTAAAGTTTCCATGCATAGTCTGAGCTCATCCATAGGCCAGCAGTACCTGTTGGTGTGATGGGGCACAGTTCACATGGTAAAGCACTAATTCTGGGTCAAAGCACAAGAGAATGGAAGAGTTTTAAGTACTCATTTCATTGATTGTTTTAGACTAGAGATGATCAGGATTCCAGTGTTAAGGAATGAAATATAATTTTGGCAGTTGTCAGTGTAAATAAATATGCTCTCCAAGAACCATTGGAATCACAAGGATAGACACAAAAATAAAGAATTGTCTCAGCAAGCCGGGCACCGGTGGCTCATGCCTGTAATCCTAGCCACTCAGGAGGCTGAGATCTGAGTATCTCGGTTCAAAGACAGCCCAGGCAGGAACATCTGTGAGACTCTTATCTCCAGTCTGTGAGACTCTTATCTCCAATAAACCACCAGAAAACCAGAAGTGTTGCTGTAGCTCAAGTGGTAGAACGCTAGCCTTGAGCTGAAGAGCTGAGGGACAGTGCTCAGGCCCAGAGTTCAAGCCCCACAACCGACCAAAAAAAAAAAAAAGAATTGTCTCAGCAAGGCAAAATTTATGTCTATAGAAGGATGTGATGCCATCAGCCAAAAATCTGGCAAGCAAGCACACAGAACAGGCAGTCTGCTCAGGTATTTATTCCTAACTCAGCAGGCCCTGCCCCTCCCCTCTGCTCAGATTGGTTGAGCTCAGGTTCACAGTCTCTCTTGACTGGCTAGTTTGAATAAGGTAAAATGTATTTATGTAAGATGATTTTGAAATAAGATTGATAGTACACAAATAATCTCAATATATCCACTTCCTCTGCTATTTCTTGAACAGTCTGTGGTGTGTTAAAATTCCATCTTGGAAAGAAACCAGTTTAAAACAAAATCTTACATTTTACCAATGCTTTCTTATCTCAAAGCAGTTCTTTTCCTTACAAGAGTCAAGTCACTAGGACAGAGCAGGAACTTTAAGCAATACAGCTTGATATAAAAAAGTTTTTCTCACAGAAGTGACTGAAAAAAGCAAACAAAATTCACCTTCACTTTTGCAAATGAGGAAATCTGATCTTTGTGAAATTGGGCCCCCCCATGTCAGTAAGAATTTAGGGCTAAGGATACAGCTCAAGTGGTAGAGTACCTGCCTAGCAGCTGAGCATTGCTTCACCTCTCCCTATGCCAAATTGTAAGTCGATCTTAAAAGTACCTACACTGTAGAATATATTGTGAAATTTTCAATGCTTATACATCCTCAGCTGTAACATTGTGGTGATACTAAACATCACACACCCCAGTGAACTATTGAAAAATTAAATGTGATCTGGGAAGGTCATGTGAGTAGATGGCTAGTCAACTGAGGCTTGTTTTTTGGTTTTGGTTTTGGTTTGAGTCTTTGACCAAAGACAGCATAGTCTTGCTTTTGTCACACATAATAGTAGTGTCCACCTGGTACCGTTTACATAGCAGTCAGTCCCTTCAGGGCTTTTGTCAGCAAAACTGGTGTATGCTTACAATCCCAATAATCAGGAAGGAGAGAGGCAGGAAGATTGTGAGCTGGAGGCAAGTGTGCATTTTTTTTGTTTGTTTTGCCTGTTAGATTAACAAGATCAAAGAGTTGTGCTATAAGGGTATAGGAAAAACAGCATCTCATATATGTTGCATAAATTAGTATAAACTCCTTTGGAGGACAGTTTAACAGTATCTTTAAAAATTTATTCTAAGTCAGGCGCTGATGGCTCATGCCTGTAATGATATTCTTTTTTTTTTTTTTCTTTTCTTTGTTCATCATGGGCTTGGGCACTATCCCTGCACTCTTCAGCTCAAGGCGAGCGCTCTGCCACTGAGCCACAGTACCACTTCCGGTTTTCTAGTGGTTTATTGGAGATAAGAGTCTCAGGGCCTTTCCTGCCCCGGCTGGCTTTGAATTGTGATCCTCAGATCTCAGCTTCCTGAGTAGCTAGGATTACAGGCGTGAGCCACAGGCGCCTGGCTTCATGAGACTCTTCTCTCCAGTTAACTGCCAGAAAACTGGAAGTGGCACTGTGGCTCAAGTGGTAGACACGTGCCTTGAGCTGAAGAACTGAGGGACAGCAACCAGGCCTAGAGTTCAAGCCCCACGACCGACAAAAATAAATAAATTAAATAATTATTGTAGAGAGTTTAAATATATATAGAAATTCCATGATTTTCCTGCTGGGGCTGGCTTTGAACCACAGTCCTCAGATGTATCTTTTTTTTTTTTCTTTTGGTTGGTTGTAGATTAGTCTCTGTGTTTAGAGGCTAAGCGGGAAAATGACACATGACAGTATGTATTGTGTACATAAAACATCTCTGAAAACTAAAGAAGAAACTGAATGTCGCTGTGTATTGAGGAAGAGGTTGTCAAGGATAATTTTTATTAAATTAGTAAACTTTTATCTATAATTTACCTTAAAATTTTTTAAGAGGTAGAGCCTGGTACAGTGACTCAGAGCTATAATCCTAATTACTTAGAAGACTGAGTTCTGGGGCTGAGAATGTGGCTTAGCATGCATGAAGCCCTGGGTTTGATTCCTCAGTACCACATACACAGAAAAAGCCAGGAATGGCACTGTGGCTCAAGTGGTAGAGCACTAGCCTTTAGCACAAAGAAGCTCAGGGACAATGACCAGGCCCTGAGTTCAAGCTCCAGGACTGGCCAAAAAAGTAAGACTGAGTTTTGGAGGTAGTGTGATATGAATGGTAGCACACCAACTAATCAAGCAAACTAAGCAAATACAAGGCTGGGTTCAAACTACAGGTGGGGGGTGGTATAAAACTGAATATGATGCAATCCTTGTTTATTTATTTTGTTGGGAATGAAGGATAAATCCAGGAAGGAACCAGATCTCTGAAGCTGATGGTCACACAACTATTCTTTTGTCTCTGACATTTCCTTCCTCAGATATTTGAGTACAGCATCCCAGACAAACAGTACACAGAATGGAGCCGAACTGTCCAGAAGCAGGGGTTTCACCACCTGTGGCTCCAAAGGGATACTCCCATCACACACATCAGTTTTCATCCCAAGAGACCAATGCACATCCTCCTCCATGATGCCTACATGTTCTGCATCATTGACAAGTCGTTGGTGAGTTCTTCGGTGCTGCCTCCTCACTTCTATATGTTAAGGACCTGCATAAAGTGACTGCTTAGAGAAAAGGCACAGTAAAGATGCCTTGTATAAGCTGGGTGCCAGTGGCTCACACCTGTAATCCTACTGCTCAGGAGGCTGAGTTCTGAGGGTCACGGTTCAACGCCAACTCAGGCAGGAATGTCCATGAGACTCTTATCTCCAATTAGCCACTAGAAAATGGGAAGTGGCACTGTGGCTCAAAGCGATCCTTGAGCGAAAAAGCTCATATAGACAGTGCCGAGGCCCTGAGTTCAAGCCCCACAACTGACAAAAACAAAAAAGATTCCTAGTATAATCTTTGGAGAAGGGGAGCTTTGTGTAACATATTTGCATTCCTGCTCTCGGAAGGCTTCAGGGACAGGGCTAGTTTTACATACTGGTTTTTTACTTCTATGACTTATTCTTTACTTTGCCAGTGAGCACTTAAATAGACGAGAAATCAGATTAGTATTCAGAAGGTGACCCTCTAAAGGGAATACAGTTGACTTGGCAGATTTTACTTTCAACTCTGAATCCTGGAGTGACTAAGATGGTTTCATTACCTGATATCCAGGATAGCATTTTGACTTGCCTGATGGATGGTACTGACAGGCTTGATGTTTTGAGAAAGTTCAGCCAGGAAATTTCCAGACTGCATGATTATATTTCGGTGGGTGTGAGCATTTTCTTCAGTTTGACATTCCACCCTCTTTACCAGCTGCTATTTCATTTATCTCACGTTTACATGTCTTTTCTGGGCAGGGGCTTTCTTTCCTAGGAACACTGTGGGCCACAGCCATGCCTGCCCAGTGCTTTGGGCTTAGATTACAACCAACATCTGCTGTTTCAGTATATCTGTGAAGGTGGGGGTGGAACATGTGTGGGTAAAGCAGCAGATGGCTTTAAAGGAGTTGTGCCCAAGGATGTATCACTGAAACCCATCTTGTGGGCTGTGGGTCCTCTGAGTGTATGAAGCAGAGCTGGCTGACAAGTGCCTCCTGTGAAATAAGTGGTACAGGAAGGGCCCTTCCCATGCACCTGTTTCTCTAGCTCAGTCTAGATCACTTTTCCCCAGGTCATGGTGATGAGTCTACCATTCTGCAACAAAGTCAGAGATGAAATACCATTTTCTTTGGCCAGCGGCAATCTCTTGAGGTCTCAGTGACAGCAGCGGGGGTGGTTTGTGTTGATGTTTTGCTTGGGGAGGCCTTCATCCAGTTATGCAGTATGTAATGTACTGGGGAAGAGTCCAGAAAGCACAGAGCCTGCCCAGACTAAGCTCCTACTCATACTGATTTGTTCCTTTATGACAAGTAGTTACTGATAAGAATGGACAAAAGCCTCATCCTATCCCTTTGATCTTACTGGTATGCAGTACCGTGTTCTCTCTTGCCTCCTCTTGCTCACCTCTTCTTGTCACGACTTAGGAGAGTGCTATCACTCTCCTGAAGTAAAGGTAGTTAAGGAAATGGTATACACAACATAAAGATGAAAAATGGTGTTGTCCTGAAAAATGAACACATTCCTTTGGTCTGTAGAAGTCAATAAAAACTGGGTGCTGGTAGCTCATAGCTTATACTCCTACTTTGTAGGCTAAGATCTGAAGATTGCAGTTCAAAGCCAGCCCGAGCAGGAAAGTCCATGAGACTCTTTATTTCCAAGGAACTACTCAGAAAAAGCCAGCAGTGGTGCTGTAGCTCAAGTGGTAGAGCACTATCCTTGAGTACAAAGCAGCTCCGGGGACATCGCCTAGGCCCTGAGTTCAAGCCCCAGGACTGGCAAAAAAGAAAAGTGACCGAGTACATTGAGCATGCTAGACAATAGAAATAACAATTTAAATAGTAAATCTTTTTTTCTTTTTAGCCTTTGCCAAATGATAAAACTGTGTTCTACAATCCTCTTCCTCCCACGAATGAATCAGATGTATTCCGGAGGCGCACAGTCCATGCCTTTAAAATTTCTAAGATATATAAGGTAAAACATCTTGGGTTATATTCTAGCTGGTTGGCTTCTTGTGATGTTCTTAAAGCTTCACAATAGGAAAACAAGAAAGAGTAGCTTCAGTTTATATGTAAGAACCTGGTTTGGGGAGATGAGTGACCTTTCTGAAGTTTTCTGTACCTTGTGTCTGTATTTCATTGTTCTGAACTCAGAGGTGAGTGTGTCAGTCCAATCCCAAATGAAATGTAAAAGGTGATATTGGTGCTCAGGTAAGAGTCATTAGTATGATTGTTTGCTTTTCAGTACAGCTTCTTGTTGGAACATATTTTACAAAAATTTAAAGCAAATGGAAGTTATTGAATTTGTTATGAGTTTCTACTCTGGCTAGCCTTTTCACTATATATAAAATAAATGCAATTTAGCCTGGCTCTGATGTCTCACACCTGTAATCCTAGCTACTCAGAAGGTTGAGATCTGAGGATCATGGCTCAAAGTGGTAGAGTGCTAGCCTTGAGTGAAAAAGCTCTGGGAGCGGGGCGCTGGTGGCTCACGCCTGTAATCCTAGCTACTCAGGAAGCTGAGATCTGAGGATCGTGGTTCAAAGCCAGCCCGGGCAGGAGAGACCGTGAGACTCCTATCTCCAATAAACCACCAGAAAACTGGAAGTGGTGCTGTAGCTCAAGTGGTAGAGCGCTCGCCTTGAGCTGAAGAGCTGAGGGACAGCGCCCAGGCCCAGAGTTCAAGCCCCACGACCGACAAAAAAAAAAAAAAAGAAAGAAAAAGCTCTGGGACAGTGCCCAGGACCTGAGTTCAAGCCCTACATCAGACTCCCCCGCCCAAAAAAAATTTATATATATATAATATATATATATATATATATATATACTCATTGAACTTATAATAATATTAGTTATTTGACCCAATTCATAAGTTTCATCAGGTATCTTTTTTTTGGGGGGGGGGGGGGTTCCCGATCGTGGGGCCTGAACTCGGCCTGGGCGCTGTTCCTCAGCTCTTCAGCTCAAGGCTAGCACTCTACCACTTGAGCCACAGCACCACTTCTGGCTTTTTCTGCTTATGTGGTATTGAGGAATCGAACTCAGGGCCTCATGCATGCAAGGCAAGCGCTCTACCACTGAGCCACCTTCCCAGCCCTCATCAGATTTCTTTGTAATTAACAGCTAAAAGCTTCCAACCTTTTTGAGTCAAGAGAACAGGAAAGGTTATTAAAGATTTCTACAGATCCTTTCATCCTTGTGTAAGATGAACCTTTTAGCTCTAGTGGCCTGGACTATAACTCCTGGTAGCATCACTGTTGTCTCTCTACAGCCCTTACTCTTCATGGATCTTCTGGATGAAAGGACACTTGTGGCAGTAGAACGGCCCCTGGATGACATCATTGCTCAGCTCCCACCACCCATCAAAAAGAAGAAATTTGGAACTTAGAGAAAGGACTTTGTGTCCTTTCTTGAACTGTCTGCCTAGTTTCTCTTCACAAATCATGATAATAAAACAAAATTATTCTTTAGGACTCTTCATTGCAAATGCTATCTTCCAAAATTATACACATTAGCTTCTCTTTGTCAGATAAAAGAAAATGGAGGTTGGCCGCTGGTGGCTCATGAATATAATCTTAGCTATTCAAGAAGCTGAGATCTGAGGACCATGGTTTGAAATCCGCCCAGGCAAGAAAGTCTGAGACTTATCTCCAATTAACTACCAAAGGCCAGAAGTGGAGCTGTTGCTCAAGAGCACTAGCCTTGAGCAGCAAAGCCAAGGGACAAAACCCAGCCTCTAAGTTCAAGTCCCAGTATTGGTTCAAAAAACACAAAGAATTAACAAAGTTCAGGTATTGCCAGCTGCTTAATACAGTTCAGACTAGCTATAAACCCATCTAGTCGTCTCAGGTCCTGTGTGTTCTTTAAACCCGTCTTGGGGGGAAAATTTAGATAGATAGATAGAATGTGCCCTCTGTTTACTTACTGTAGATTGGCATTTAATGCTAATCTACAGTCTATGCAAAAGTATGGGAATCTGCCCAGCATTGCCCTGGAGGGCAGGCAGCTATAGTCACTTACCCAAGATTATCTCACCACTAATATAGTCAGCCTTGCTGTTCAAGGAATGATTGTTACTTCAGCATCATAAGAGAGTATTTCATCTGAAAACTGCATGCCTTTGACAGTTAACTACTAATTTTAACAGAAAAAAGTCAGGAGCTTAGGGATATAGCTCATGGGTAGAGTGCCAGCACACAAAATAAGGCCATGGGTTTGATGTTACTACCCATCATGACAGCTTCCAAAGGTAAACATTGGGGTGGGAGTAGAAGTGGAGGTGGGAGCCAGCCCATTATGTATGTCACCTTTCTGTTTTCTACCTCTTTCCCCCTCTTCAGCCTGCTTTCCCATTGTTATTCCCATGGGTGCTTCCAATGACTAGTTTTAATATGATCTTTACAGTAGTAAGAAGTTAACATGAACTGAGCAGATTTCTTTCACATCTCAGTGGATGTATTGTGAGTTATGGGCAGAGAAGTAAATAGGTTCTGATGGCATGTAAAGTGCTGTGAAAATGATTTTTGTTAAGGTGAATGAACCCCACTGTCTATTCAGGAAAGGGAAATGAGAGAGGAGAATTTAAGACGTGTGCGAAGAGAAGTAACAGGTTGTAAGAGAGCCAAGCAATGTCCAGTCATTGATGACGTAAAGGACAGTGTATCTTAAGTTTGATAAGAGGGATTGGATTGCATAAGGTTTACAATGGTTGCTACTCTGCCTCTCCTTGCTAAGCTTTACAGTGACAGGAGTAATTTAAACAAATATCTGCTACTTCCTGGGTCATCTGTGTTAAAATTCTCTTCTTGAATAAATTTCCTTTTGTAAGTAAGGCATTTGTCCCAGGTCGTTGGACTGGATTGTTCATTACCTTTTTAGTAGGAGTAGATAATCTTGGCCTTCCTTTAAAAAACGTCTTTTAAGTCTTGTGTGATTAACACCAAAGTTGAGACTGTCTCTAGTCTCAGCTATTTGGGAGGTGAGATTGGATCAAGGTTTCAAGCCAGCCCAGGGAAAATGTGAGACACTATTCAGACCAGCTATACAGAGGCAAAAGTAGTCCAGGACATTAGTCTATACTAATATGAGCAGAGGGAGGCTAGGATGCTTGAACTGTTAACTCACTTGCTTCTTGCTGGAAGCAAGACCTGTAAATTCAGAGAATCCTTATTAACTGGTCTAATTTATGATGTGAGTTATATTTCTTTTTCAATGCTGGGGACTGAACGTAGGACCAGATAAGCACTCTACCTCTAAGCTGTGCTCCTAGCTTACTTAACCATATCTGAAACCTCATGGATTATGGAGGATAATACTTCTGACAGAGGGCCCACAGATCATCTAAATGAAGAAGTAAAACTTAAAGTGGAATGCATTCCTTTGCAAGGTTTTCAGCTAGTGATTTGGACTTCCATAAATGGTATGGGAAGTAAGAGCTTTGGGCCCTGAAATTCTTCCTAAGTAGAAAACAATACAAATGAAGCAGAAACAGATTGGGACATGTTAGAGAAATGAAATAGAGAAGGGAAGGCAAACTGGTGCCTGCTTCTCACTTGGTGTGGGGGGGAGGAGTTTGTGTAAGCTGGGCATTTGAGAAATTTCATTTTAGGAATTATTTCTGCTTTGGGCAGTGTGGACTACTGCTTGTTTGTGCTGTAACAGAAGAATTTTGATCCAAATAATAGTCTTGTTTTTTTCTTTTTACTTGTCAATCTGACTCAAATGTTTAAAAATTTTATGTTTTCCCATGTCCTACTTGGTAATCTGCTTTCTTATGAGCAGGGCACCAGTGGCTTACATCTATAATCCTGGCTACTCAAGAGGCTGAAATTTTTTTTGGGGGGGTGGGGGAGTCCGGTTGTGGGGCCTAAACTCTGGGCCTGGGCGCTGTCTTTCAGCTCTTCAGCTCAAGGCTAGCACTCTGCCACTTGAGCCACAGCGCCACTTTTTCTTTTTGCTTATGTGGTGCTGAGGAATAGAACCCAGGGCCTCATGCATGCAAGGCAAGCACTCTACCACTGAGCCACCTTCCCAGCCCCAAGAGGCTGAAATTTGAGAATTGTGGTTCAAAGCTAGTGGAAACAAGAAAGTCCACAAGTTTTTTTGTCTGTTTTTTTGTCGGTCGTGGGGCTTGAACTCTGAGCCTGGGCGCTGTCCCTCAGCTCTTCAACTCAAAGCAAGCGCTCTACCTCTTCAGCCACAGCACAACTTCTGGTTTTCTAATGGTTAATTGGAGATAAAGAGTCTCACAGAATTTTCTGCCCGGGCTGGCTTTGAACGGTGATCCTCAGATCTCAACCTCAGTAGCTAGGATTACAGGCATGAGCCACCGGTGCCTGGCATAGTCCACAAGTTTCTTTATCTCCAAATAACCACCAAAAGCTGGAAGTGGAGCTGTAGTTCAAGTGGCAGAGAACCAGCCTTGAGTTTTTGAAAAAGCTAAGGGATAGTGTCAAGGGCCTGAAGGTTCAAGCCCCAGTATTGACATGGATTTTTTTTTTTAAGGTTTTCTTGAGCATCAGAACTTGCTTCAAGGTGTGAGGATGTGGTTTAGTGATAGTGTGCTTATTACCTAGTATGCATAAGAGCCCAAGTTAATCCCCAGCTCTGCAAAAAAAGAAAAAAAGATTGGAGGTGGCTCCAGTGGTAGAGTGCCATCTATAAGCAAAAAATGTGATTTAAGAGCTGGGCACTGGTGGCTCATGCCTGTAATCCTACTAGTTAGGAGTCTGAAATCTGAGGATCATGGTTCAAAGCCAGCCCAGGTAGGAAAGCCTTGTCCTTGAGTAAAAAAAAGCTCAGGGACAACACCTAGGTTCTGAGTTCAAGCTCCAGGACCAGCACAAAAAAAACAGGTGCTTGAGAACATGAGGCTCTAAATTCAGGCCCTGACCCCATTCCCCACCCCCAACTATTTACAAGAGATACTTCATTCTGGGTCACAGTATTTACTGTAGTAAATTTACTTTATCTCAGGTTTGATAAGGAACTGACTGGACAAGATTTACAATGGTTAACACTCCATACCCCTTAAGCTTTACAGTGATGGGAATAATTTAAATAAATAGCTGTAGAAAGTAGGGCTTTTCTGGTTATTGGGAGTAGAGGAAGAAGCTGCGATTTTTATATTCAAGGAAATGGAGGCCAAGAGGAAAAGGAGGTGATTTTTCTCATGATTACACACTGATTTGCCTCCAGCAAATTTGCTGTCTCTTAGTTCTAGAGACCTGATGTGATGACTATCACATCATGGCATCCAAAGGATTTTCCATTTCACAAGCTGCAGGAAAGGCATTTAGGCATTTCTTTCTCTGGCTGACATTAATCGAGCTATAATACTGAGTTGTGTGGGTGGTCATTTGTGTTAATCATAGAATGTCTCAATGAACAGCCTACCTAGTACATTGTCTCCCACTGCCCACATTGGGTATTTGGGGATAATTTCTGTATGTAAAAGTGTTTGCTCAAACTATGTCCATGCTCTGTCACATTTAATTGCCCTTTAGGCTGGCTATCTTCCCATCCGCAGCTCTCATTTCTTTATCCTTGCTGATAGACTAATTTGAAGCCCATCTTGTAATTGTCTTTTTTTTTTTTTTTTCTTGAGCCAGTCCTGGGACTTGAACTCAGTTCCTAAGTACTGTCCCTGAGCCTTTTTGCTCAAGGCTAGTTCTCTACTACTTGAGTCATAGCTCAGCTTCCCACTTTTGGGTGGTTAATTGGAGGTAAGAGTTCATGAACTGGCTGGGAATGTGGTTTAGTGGTAGAGTGTTTGCCTAGCATTCATGAAGCACTGGGTTCGATTCCTCAGTACCACATAAATAGAAAAAGAAGTAGCACTGTGGCTCAGTGGTAGAGTACTAGCCTTGAATCCAGAGAGGCCCAGGGACACTGCACAGACCCTGAGTTCAAGCCCCAGGACTGGCAAGAAAAATAGAGTTCATAAACTTTCCTGCCTGGACATCCATCTTTAGATCCCAGCCTCTTGAGTAGCTAGAATTACAGGTGTGAGCCACAAGTGCCTAGCAAAAATGTCATTTTTATTTTACATCTTCCTGTTTACTAATGACTTTTCTCACCTTTTTTCCCCTGGCTATTTGGTGGCACAACTTGCTTGTTTAAAACCTTTTTTTCCTTTTTTTTGTAATGTGCCTTTTTCTTTTATAATTAAAGGTATTTTATGATGTAGGTGAATATCATCCAAGAAGTTACACAGTAAGGTTTTAACTAGACGTGGTTATTAAGCACTTGAAATGTAGCTAGTTTGACAGTGGCTTTCAAGTTGGACAGTACAGATTTAGTCATGTTATATTATTGTGTCTAGGAAGCTGTAAAACTTAATATAAATTTATTACTGCCTGCTGTATACTGCGCACCAAGAACAAATGAACAATACAAGGTCAACCCTCCAGAATTTACTGACTGACTTGGTCAGAGAAATAGACCTGCGACACTGTATTGAAGGTGAGCAGCAGTATG